TGTGCAGGTGGAAATGCTCTGTGCAGGTGTTAATCAAGTTAAATCCCAACAGCCAATCAGCAAGAAGTATAGAAGAAAGCTGCATGCCTATTGGTTGATGCCCTGCATTCCATTGTGATGACTCATGCCCAGACGTGGTAAACACGGCACACTAACACAGTAATACATTTGCTATAACACAGCCAAAAAACTCAAATAAAACCATTCTAAAAGCCTGTATCACAAAAATTAAAAAAAACGCCTAGGGGTATTTGCCCACTGTACCTCCATACCAAATTCCAGGACCTTAGGCCCTAAAATGAAGAAGCTGAATCCATTTAAAAAATGGCAGGAGAAGGAGAAGGAGAAGAAGAAACATCAGAAAAAGCAATATGGGTTCACCACCACTTCGTGGTGTGGTGAACCCATAATAAAGCATAATTAATGAAGACATCCTTGAATTGTAGTGATTAAAACAATATGCATTAGATACATGTAACGTATGTAAGCTATGGCAGATATGACAGTTGTGACATTGGCAAATATTTATGTCAATAATTATATTACTGAACAGTAAGAGGGGTGTTGCACCACAGATGTTCTAAATAGCAAGGCTATCTATGCACAGAAATGCTATCTAGAAAAAATGCTCCAAGTCCTACACGTGCAATATGCCATCCACCATCAAAATATCAAAGTTCACTAAAATGCGCCCCGCCCCCAAGCATTTTAATTGTGTATTATTATTCTACCTGTATCTTTATTTGTCGATAAGCCGTTGATGAACAGCGTATATTGCCCAATTGATTATACAGATGAATATTCTGACTTTACATTTAGGGGAAACACCCATGCAGTATCCCCAGTCCCATTGGAGAACACGTGCAGACGCTGCTGCGAAAATACCAAACCCTATGTACGCCTCTAATGCAGGTAAAACATTTGTAGTCTAGATGTTTTCCAATTAATCAGAACCAACAGCTTGTGGGGACAAAACGGCACCGGACGAGTGCCATTCCGGCCCTGGTGAATTTGCTAAATAAACTCCAATGAACTGCATCATGTTTGCCCTGACACTAACACTAACTGGTTTTGTTACCTCTTTGAGAGTAAATCTTAACAATAATCTAAAAACCAACTGTATTTTATAAGCATGTCCAGAAGTAATTTATAAGATATAGAAGTAATTTATAAGATATAAATTTATTGGTTCATTTGCAAATCTTAACAATTACTTAATATGCATTGGTATTTTACAAGTATGTGTATAAGCAATTTATAACTGATCCCTACCAGACAATGCTACATATGAATATTGCTTTGTATAGTATTTGAGTAATTGTCCTCATAATTTCTAATGATTGAACACGCCAATTTTAACGTTGTATTATATTGTAACGATTTTAATTGTAAATGTGTAACTACTTAAGTTAGACTGACACTCCTCACAATTCAGCCCGTTACGGCTGCCAGGAGGCATTCATGTAACAACTAAAGTTCTAATAAACCAGTCTACTACTAGCCTGGGTACCATCCGGATTTTCGCTACGCAACGCTTGAAAAAAATGTTTTTTTCAAGCGTTGCGTAGCGAAAATCCGGATGGTACCCAGGCTAGTCTACTACTACTACTACTACATCTTTTCCAACATCTTGTCCATGTTACTTGTATTTAAAATCCTAGCGTTTCTAAATAACTGTAATGCATGTTATAATTTTCCTACAGGTGCCACACCCGCGGACCAAGCCCAGACTAATTACCAGGCACGTGCTGACGACGACGCAAACACACACGATGCCACGTGCTACTCTAAAGCAGGTAAATCGCCTCAAGACCTTATCTTTTTTAGTATCTTGTTTTCCATTGCGTGGCGCAGCTAGCTCGTTTGTGTGACGGAGTTGTTTTTAAGTGCCGCGCGAGTGATTTGTCTGTAAAAAATAGGCTTTGTTCACATAAAACCACCTGAACCGCGATTCGGGTAACGAGCATTCCTCGCACCTGGTCCAAGGGCCACGCTGTGTTTGTTGTTACTGACTCAATATTACCATTTTAACCCTGTCTAGACCAAGCTTTTTTTGGAATTCGTGGGAAGGGGAGGTGAGGATGGGGGTGTGGAGGATGGGGGTGGAAGGGGGAGTGGCGTTGAGGATGGGTTTGGAAGCTTAAGGGGGGAGCTGGGCTCATGACTCCCTCAGAACTTGTGAATAGTATACTGTATGGCCACTAAATTTTCAGAGGATGGTGTGCAAGTGAAAATAAATCATTGCAATTTTGATGTCATTATAACATAATACGACGTAATTATGACGTCATTAATGTAATTTTATTGGCCAAATCCGTCCAGATAGGTTACGTTCGTGAATATTGCTCATCCAGGGTACGTAGTAACCGCAAGAAAGTAATTTAGTTTTTTTTCAAACTGGATAGAGTTTAATCTGCAGACGTTTCGGGTGTTGATCCGACACCCTTCATCAGTACTAGTGAATGTTTACAAAGAAATTTTCAAAACGAGAAACAAGTTCTCAATAAACAAAACGGTCCAATAGTTCTAAAGCGTGTTCTAAATAAACAAAAGGTAACTGACAAAGGTTCTAAATTTTTATAAATATACATTCTAAAAAGAGTAAACAAAGAAGGAAATAAGGAAAAACGAAATGAACTAAAATACGGCAAAATACAAGTCACAAGTGTCTGAATAAATGTAAATTCGTTGTAAAGCGCTGTCCCAAGATACTGAAAGATCAAATATCATCCCCCCCATTCAACGAAGACCGAAGAACATGCTCATAGATAGCCTCCCCGCTCAAACCATCTGGACTCAAGGTCCAAAATATAAGTATTATCTACATGAAAGGAGTGTCCGTTGTGATTGTTGAGGTGGTGGTAAATGGCAGATGAGAAACCACTGAAACTTGCGCTGCAATGTTGTTTATACCTTTCCTTCAGAGGCTGGCTGGTTTCCCTGATATTTATGTCCTTGCATTGAGGATCGTCGCACTTTAATCTGTAGATTACATCCGACTTAATGTAGTTTTTGATTATGTCCTTGGGATGTACCAATCGTTGTCGTAGGGTGGAGTATGGTTTGAAGTTGGTAGCGGTGATATGGTTTTGCATGATACGTCGATTATTCTCCAAAAGCCCTTGTATGTACGGTATTGTGATGTTGACAGTTTTAGTTCTTATTAGTTTCGATCTTCTGCGAGGGGGTACTTTAAGGCCTTGTTGAAAGTCCAATGATTATATCCATACTTCGATAATGCCATCTTTGTTGTTGTTTTGTACGCTTGACGCTATCCGACATCAAAGTTGTCGCGGGTACTTTTAGTGATATATGTCAAAAGTGTAATTGCATTTTGGGGACATGTGTCCAAGGTATTCCCATAGCGAATTTCAGGTTAGTCGGATTTAATACCAGGGCTCTGGATCACAAAAGGTACAATTTTGCCTGAAAATTGCCCGAACCATTCAACAAGCCTGTATGCAAAGAAAGAAAAAAAATCTGAGGTACTAGCCACTCTACTTTAATGCCAAATTCCATGCAATAAAGAAATTGAATTCAATAACGAAATAGCAGGTGATTGAGGAGAAGGAGAAGAAACACTAGGGAAAACAACATTTCGTGATGTGGTAAAGCCATAAAAATTGTCTTAACAATACAAATTCAGTACTTTTTATTGGCTCCAATAGAGAAAATAAAATGATAATATGTCCACAGTCGTTATACATTACTATAAGTTTAAGTTGATAATAAATTATTGAACAATTATATACTTTATTATTAGACAATGTGAATTGTGGTATCAATATAAAGATATTCTTTCGCAAAAGATCTATGCTTCCTGAAATTCCTATTTATTGTAGGGAAATTATTTAGTGACATATGCCTTTGCATATCTAGCCCCCTTACTATTTGATTTAATATATTTAATCGATCTTAGACGATGCCAAGGGAATAAGACGACTCTGGAATAAGATAAAGCTAAGAGTAAGAAAGGTTCACTGGATGGCACTGGGCTTTGCACTACTGGGGATATCGTCACTTATCACCATGTCGATCATTCTCCCTAGTCTGGTACCTGGAATCAAGGTAAATAAACAAGCCTTCTTTTTAACAAATTAAAATCTTTGCAAAAGTGAATATATGTATGGGGCAGTTTTTTTTCTACTAGCTTTATACTGGCTTTTTTCCCTCCAACATACCCATTATATGCTATAGGCCAATGATGCGCTAAGGTGTTAAAAAGCTGATTTTATGGATAATTAATTTGTTAATTAAAATATTTATTCAAAAACTGCTATCTATCATAATTACTACTACATGTTTTTGTTTCATTACTATTATTTTACATTTGTAAAATGTTGGTGGAAGATCCCGGACAAGCCGTTCTAGCTTTTTATCTCCCCCCTGCATATCATCGTTTCTTATGCTCATACTACTTTCTTTTGTTACGTACTATGTTCATGCTAATTTTACTACATGCTCTTTTTATTCTTTATATGAAAAGGGAAAGAAGAAAACAGGCTTTGGTATTTTATTTTTTCTTTGTTTGGTGAGTTTTTTAAGGACATTCCTTTTTTTACCAATCAGGTTTTATTTGACCGTTATGTATCTTTGGTTGTCTGACTAAATAGAATCATGTATTCTGGGCCCCATCTGAGCTACTACAAGCTGAATATGCTACCCAGCTCTTTATGATGAAATGGATAAATAAATAATCATATTATGATAATAATATAAATTCTAGAATAGCATACATCATATGTAAACACCATTCTTAAGACGCAAGAACATCAGAATGAAACATAAAGTCACCCAGGTATCAATACAATTGAGATGCTGTGGGAAATGTCCAGTGTTCTGAAATGACAATGGAGCTATACAAAATTTAGGTGAATCATAAATCGGAGGAAGACATTGGGATCGTCTCGAACCAAATTCAGCCGACTGTCCCATGGTCGACATTATTCTACAATGAAAACCTCTTCCCCGCCAACTATACCACTGAACCTTCGTTCATAATGGATTCGTTTGCCAACACCAATCACGTCACAGAGGACTTACCTACAACCCTCAAGTTTGTAACAAGCACTGGTAAGACATATTCTTATAAGCCATGAGGCAAAAGGCTAGTAAATATTATTAATGACACCAACCAAAAAATAGTCCAAATCTATTGCAATATGGCGACAAACAAATAGGGGGGCAGAAGAATTTTGAGGTCATTAGCCTTGTTATATAAAATCTAAGGTTACGAAACATGATAACACAAACAAAAATATGTCTTAGTGTTGTATTCAAAAGTATTACTTATGTAGACTTGCACAGACAGTTAACTAGCACTCAATATTACTCTGTAAAGCAATGCTAATGCTGAGGTCACATTTCCAAACCGGGGCCCGGCCGGGCAGTCTTATGGAACGAAAATTATGATACAAAAGACAACAAAATACAAGAGAAGTTCAAAAGATCATCATGAGTACAATTTTTGTATATTCCTGATAAGAATTATTGATTTTTTGTTCATACAAACAGCCCGGCCGGGCCCCGGCTTGGAAATGTGACCTATGCATAAGCAACTAAGTAGAACACAGAAATAGATGGTAAAATGAATTAATTGTGCAAATTTGAATCACATTTTTTCTAATTTTGTGAACATTTTAACACGAGATATTTTTGTCTTTAACTAAACAGACGTCGATGAGTGTAAAGAGAATCCATGTGAACATGGACGCTGTGAGAACAAAGATGGCGGATACAATTGTACCTGTTCACCTGGTTGGACTGGACATGACTGTGAAAATGGTAAATCCATTGAATAAGCAGTCAATTACTAAATACCAGGTTTCTCTTTTTTAAGACTGGCGCTTATTTGTGCAACATTTATTAGATTTTTTTTTATTAACATGTTAATATTTTAACGATGATGTTTTATTGTCATGTCTATGAAACAGATGTCGATGAGTGTAAAGAGAATCCATGTAAACATGGCCGCTGTGAGAACAAAGATGGCGGATACAATTGTACCTGTTCAACTGGATGGACTGGTCAGAACTGCCAAAATGGTGAGTCCATTGACTTAGCCGTCATTCTTTGAATGCAATGTTTTTTCCCTATCAAATGTATGTTGAAAATGATTGAAAGTAGTGTTTTTGTGCAACTAAATTCAATGCTTCCCTTTAATCAATGTATGTTAAAACCGATCGAGAATCGTTGTAGTATTTGTAAAAAATATTATGTGTTATTGCTATAATTACAATACAGATGTCGATGAGTGTAAAAAGAATCCATGTGAACATGGACGCTGTGTGAACAAAGTTGGCGGATACAATTGCACCTGCTCACCAGGATGGACTGGACATGACTGTGAAAATGGTGAGTCCATTAAATTATCAGATAATTACTAAAAACAATGTTTCTCTTTTTGTTCAATATATAGTGAGCTTGATTAAGACTGGCATTTATTTGTGCAACATTCATTAGATTTTTTATCATGTAAATATTTTAGCGATAATTTTTTATTATCATTTCTATGAAACAGATGTCTATGAGTGTAAAGATAATCCATGTAAACATGGCCGCAAACGAATGACTTAGCTGTCATTTTTTAATGCAATGTTTTCCTTATCAAATTTATGTTTTTCCGTATTAAATTTGTGTTGTGCTATCGAGAATCGTTGTCGTATTCGTTAAAATATGATCTTTAATTGTTATTATTACAAAACAGATGTTGATGAGTGTAAAAAGAATCCATGTGAACATGGTCAATGTGTGAACGAAGATGGCGGATACAACTGCACCTGCCCACCTGGATGGACTGGACATGACTGCCAAAATGGTGAGTCCATGATCCAATGACTTAGCTGTCATTTTTTGAATGCAATGTTTTCCTGAATGTTTTTTTTTCTAAATCTATGTTGAGCTTGATTGAAAGTAGTGTTTTTTCGTGCAACATTCATTGGATTTTGATTTCTCATTAATATTCTAAAGATGATATTTCATTGGTATCTTTTCAAAACAGATATCGATGAGTGCATGAAGAACCCATGTGAACATGGCCGCTGTGTGAACAAAGATGGCGGTTACAATTGTGTCTGTTCACCTGGACAAGACTGTAAAAATGGTAAGTCCATTGAAAAACTAGTTAATTAACAAATGCCAATTTTCCTTTTTTTAATGATATATAAAGCTTGATTGAGACTCATATTTATTTGTGCAAAATTTATTAGATTTTAAACTTGTGAATATATTAAAGCTGATGTTTTATTGTTATCTTTATAAAACAGATGTCGATGAGTGTAAAGGGAATCCAATGGCATGTAAAAATGGCCGCTGTGTGAACAAAGATGGCAGATACAAATGTACCTGCTTACCTGAATGGACTGGACAGAACTGCCAAAATGGTGAGTCCACTGATCTTGGAATATCAGTTGATTACTAAATGGAATGTTAATGTTTCTCTCTATTGAATATATGTCGAGCTCATTTGAGGCCAATGTTTTATTATGCAACATTCATTGGATTTTTTAAAATTTAATGAAATGTTTTAAACATGATATTTTATTGTTATCTTTACGGAACAGATGTCGATGAGTGCAAAGATAACCCATGTAAACATGGCCGCTGTGAGAACAAAGATGGCGGATACAGCTGCATCTGCTCATCTGGATGGACTGGACAGAACTGCCAAAATGGTGAGTCCATTGATCTTGGATTAGCAGTTGATTACTAAATGGAATGTTTCTCTTTATTGAATATATAGTTAAATATACAGTTAAGGCCAATGTTTTATTATGCAATGTTTATTAGACTTTGTAACATTTTATGAATGTGTTTTAACATGGTGTTTCATTGTTATCTTTACAAAACAGACGCCGATGAGTGCAAAGATAATCCATGCAAACATGGTCAATGTGTGAACAAAGATGGCGGATACAAGTGTGCCTGCTCACCTGGATGGACTGGACATGACTGTGAAAATGGTGAGTCCATTGATCTTGGATTAGCAGTTGATTAGTAAATATAATGTTTCTCTTCATTGAGTATATGTCGAGCTGGCTCAATAGAGGCCAATGTTTTACTATGCAGGGTTTATTAGATTTTTTAAACATTATGTTTTATTGTTATCTTTACGGAACAGATGCCGATGAATGTAAAGACAATCCATGTAAACATGGCCGCTGTGTGAACAAAGATGGTGGATACAACTGTATCTGCTCACCCGGATGGACTGGACAGAACTGCCAAAATGGTGAGTCCACTGATCTTGGATTAGCAGTTGATTACTAAATGGAATGTTTCTGTTTATTGAATACATGTCGAGCTTAATTAAGACCAATGTTTGATTGTGCAATGTTCATTACATATTAGCATTTTCTGAGTATTTTAATTAAACATGATGATTTATTGTTACCTTTATAAAACAGATGTCGATGAGTGTAACGAGAATCCATGTAAACATGGACGCTGTGAGAACAAAGATGGCGGATACAAGTGTACCTGCTCACCTGGGTGGACTGGACATGACTGTGAAAATGGTGAGTCCATTGAATTAGCAGTTAGTTACAAAGTGCAATATTTCTCTTTAAAATCATTTATATATGTCGAGACTAGTGTTTAATTGTGTTAAATGTTTAACAACTTGTGAATATGTTTTACTATTATCTTTGATACAAAACAGATGTCGATGAGTGTAAAGAAAATCCATGTAAACAAGGCATCTGTGCGAACAAAGATGGCGGATACAACTGTAACTGCTCACCTGGTTGGATTGGACATGACTGTGAAAATGGTGAGTCCAATTAATAAGCAGTTAGTTTCTAAATGTAATGATTTTCTTTAATCAATATATTTTCAGCTTGTTTAAGACTTGTACCTAATTGTGCAATATCCATTTGATTTTTTAACATGATTACTTATTGTTATCTTTTCAAAACAGACGTCAATGAGTGTAAAGAGAATCCATGTAAACATGGCCGCTGTGTGAACAAAGATGGCGGATACAATTGTGTCTGCTCACCTGGGTGGACTGGACAAGACTGCAAAAATGGTGAGTCCATTGCATAACCGGTTAATCACTAAATGCAATGATACTCTTTAATCAAAAAAATGTCGAGGGAATCAATGTGAGCATGGCCGCTGTTAAACAAGATGGCGGATACAATTGTACCTGCTTACTAAATGGACTGGACATCCTTTCTTTCTTTATCTATTATAATAGGGATACGTTTAAAAGATTCCAGAGATTCATCTATGCACTATTCATATCTACTGTATAATTTTATTTTGAAATCCAGTTACCTTTGCCAGAATGTTTTTAGCATTAATACGTATCTTTGTATGCATGTACATATATATATGTATGGAATTTAGCACAATAACTCATAAAGGTGTGGATTTATTGCAATGAAACGTAGTAGATGGGTTTACATATTTAAATACTAACCCGTCTGGCGGCTAATGTTATTGTACTGTGGCGAACCCTGTTTTTAGATAGGTCCTGTGCTTAGGAAGAATGGAGGTTAGTTTGGGACTCTTGATAACTCAAGAATCGGTTGAAGGATGGTCTTGAGTTTTCGGTATGTAGACACTGATGATTGAATTGGCTATGTTACAGTTCTGCAAATGGAGGTCTAATTTGCATAACTTTTCTACATCTGTATGTGGACTGATTTACCTACGTTTTAGTGATAGATGACATAGATGAGTGCATCACAAATCCCTGTCAACATGGACGCTGTATGAACAAAGATGGCGGATTCAACTGCAAATGCGACAGTGGATGGGCTGGACAGAAATGTCAGCAAGGTGGCTTCACTTTTGTACATTTGTGTTTGTCTATGTGTGTGTTTGCTGGTGTATGTTGGGGGGATGGGGTCTGTGCATTTATAAATATTTTGGTAAATTTTTGGCGGACATGGACTCCTCTGCGTATACAATATGGTGGACACAATAATGTCTTTTTCCTGCTCTATTGGACGGACTGAAAAGGACTGCAAGCAGACTGAAGTGTTTATCGTCACCAAAGACAAATAGTTGATATTCCTCATTATTTATCAATATCCCTAATCCCTTATCTTCCTATTCCTGGAATCCAGGGCCTGGATACATCGAATGGTACATGGTGCAAACACAGGTTTACAGAATTAATTGTATAATCATTAAAAAAACTCGAAAACGTGTAATAAGACAATTATATACTCTTTTATAACACAGATATTAATGAGTGTGCTGGAATACCATGCAGACATGGACACTGTGAAAACAAGGATGGCGGATACAAATGTATTTGCTTACGTGGATGGACTGGAAGCAACTGCCGGAATGGTACGTAATGTGCAAAGAAACACCTTTTTTTCAAAAGCTGTTGATTTTTACACTTTTACTTTTGAACATTAATACAGTGTTTTGTTGCTAGTTGTCTTAAGTGTATCTTTTTAGCGTTACCAACTCCTGGAAACATGGAATGCACTGAATGGAAAAGGTAAACATCTCTGTACCGTCAACAAAACTGTTAGACGTGAGCTCCAAAAATGTTTTATTTTGCAGTATCTGTGGCAAATCGAGACAGATATTTAATGGACGTCCTGTACTAAGGCACATTACTTCCGTCCTTTGTTCTACAGACATAAATGAGTGTGTCGAAATTCCCTGTAAACATGGCCGCTGTGTGAACAAAGATGGCGGTTACATGTGTAACTGCGACCCTGGTTGGACTGGAAAGAACTGTCAGCAAGGTGGCATCCTTTTTATGTGTGTATGTCCGTGTGTGTGTGTGTGTGTGTGTGTGTGTGTGTGTGTGTGTGTGTGTGTGCGTAAGTAGGTATGTGGGATTGTAAGAATTATTATACTAGTGGATTTTAGATTTTACAAATATATTTATTTTGTTACGAAGATTTCTTACAAAACATGTTTAGACTAGATTTGAAGCAAAGACTCTTGGACAAACAAACTAATTTTAGTTTCGGGCCTTTTAAATCCTGTTCGGAAAAAAAATCACAGGTTTCCGAACCTCCTGGAGTAACTTCCTCCATTATTATCATGAAAGTTGCATGTTTAAAGTTAAAACTTTTGTTCCAACATAAAAATTCTCTCACCTAGAGCTTTTTACCAGTCACTCTGGTCTTCCCCAGTAGACTGACCCAGTGAAGCCCCCTACATTGAACCGCTACGGGGGTCGACATCGTCTACCAGATACCTTTGACCCAGTGTTGACGTCACACGTCAAAGAAGCCACGTGACAAGCTTCACTGGGTCAGTCTACTGACATCCTCCTTCGCAGGGCTAAAATCCTCCGGTTCCTTCCTTCGGGTTTTAGCCCTGCTATTTACCGCTGACAGTTTGACTTTTGGTGACGTCACCGCCAAACTGCTGTCAGCCAATCAGAGAATTTGCGCACCGAGCTTTGCGCAAAAACCGCAAAGGTCGCTGGGAACCTATTAGCCAATCAGGTTACGTCTTACATTCCCATGTTGGGACAGGCCAAGATGGCGGCTATTACAGATACTAGAAGTTTCGTGCGAGCCGTGCAAGATTTATTTGGAGTCGAGCGGCTTCGTGAGCATCAGCAGTCGACGCTACGGGCGCTGCTTGATGGCAGGGACGTTTTTCTGAGTGTGCGGACAGGAGGAGGGAAGAGCCTGTGCTATATGGGCTTCCCAGCAGCGGCCAAAGCCCTGGCCAAAGCCGAGACAGAGTTAGGGCAAGCCCCCCGACATCCGTCTTGGCCAGCCGGTTAAGTTTTGCAAAGCACTCGCGGCAGATGGCGCTTGACAGCCCTTTCCTCGTCCAGACTTTTTTGTCAGGTGTCACGCGCAAAATCTGCCGGATCTGTGCGTGAAGGGAGGTCACGTGAACTGAAAACAGCGAGCGGTAACTTTTTGGAACGACCCCCTTCCCACAAAACAAGCAAATCTTGGTTCCTCCCCCCTCAGCACGCTCCATGCTTCTCTGTTGTTGTTATTCTACCGCGCCGCCATTTTGTAAAGTTGTAATCTTGGCGCTGATTGGTTTGTGCCAAATAAGGCAAGCTCATGAATTATTTATAAGTGACGTCACCAAAAGTCAAACTGTCAGCGGTAAATAGCAGGGCTAAAACCCGAAGGAAGGAACCGGAGGATTTTAGCCCTGCGAAGGAGGATGTCTACTGAGGAAGACCAGAGTGACTGGTCGAAAGCTCTAGGTGAGAGAATTTTTTTTGTGTGTTGGAACAAAAGTTTTAACTTTAAAATTCCTCCATTCTTGTCTTTCCTAGCCCAACCATGTCCTTCTTCTTGGACTGAGTTTAACAATCACTGCTACAAGTTAATGGTTGAGCGGGCTACCTGGTCTGCAGCAGATAACCAGTGTCAACAGCAAGGCGCAAATCTTTTATCTATCACAAGCGCTTACGAGGGCAATTTCATTAAACGTTCCATCATTAAAGGTGGGTATCATACAGCATATTCCGATGTACATATCTAACATCTAGTCTCATATTTGGCTTTCGAGTTTTTAACTTTAAACTCTAACTTAAGTAGATGGGCGCTAATGTACGCAAACTGGGTATTAGACACCAGTCAGAAGCATGGAGTCGATATTGTCGATATCTGAAACGATATTGTCGGCCAAGAGTAGTTGCCGAGTGCTTTTGTATTAATAATTAATGTGATAGTAATGATATTCCTTCACAGTTTGATAAAGGCATTGACTTCAGTACCTTGTAAAGCATGAACATGATTATTATACTATATAAAGTTTTAAAAGCACTAGAAAGGCCGACATTTGAGCCATTGCTCATGAGTAAATGCAGCATGGCTTCACCACATCCGAAAATGGACCTATCCCCCTCCCACACAAATGAATTGTCCCTACGTCACCCCTGTTCCAAATGTGGTGTTCCAACAGTCTATACCCCCATGCAGCAATGGAATCTTCCAATACCTTTTGCTGTTGGAACATGTAGATAGACGGGATCCATGCCACCGTGTATGGGGGTAAAGATTGTTAGAACACCACATTTTGAACAGGGTGACTTAAAAACAATTCATTTGTGTGGGAGGGGGATAGGTCCATTTTTGGATGTGGTCATTCCCCCTGTATCTGCTTGAAGACGAAGCCACTGTGCATCAGCTCGAAGATACCCATGCCACCATGTATCTGCTTGGAGATTGCAAATGTCATCAGGTCATTTGGTCCCCAAAGTTGAATCAGTTCAACGAAGTGGCAGGGATAGAAGGAGAAACATAAGAAGAAACCTAGATTTTGTAAGAAAATGGCAAAAATCCAGATAAAAGCCAAATATTAAAAAAACGTCTGGAGGTATTTGGCCAAAAAAATTCAGAAATTGAATCCTTCTGACAAAATGGCAGGAGAAGAAGGAGAAACATGAGGGAAATGATATGTCTTCGTGGTCTGGTGAAGCCATAAACATGGGCACTGATAGTAAGAGTAGCTAAGAAAACAGAAGAATCTATGGAATTTAACTATAGTAAACCATTAATCTTAATCTTTTCGTATCATTGAGTTTTCCTATCTTCCGTCCATCACCCCTAAGTATTTAACTATTGCAACAGAAAATCACCTAATTATACACTTACTTAGCAGGGGTTTTGTTAATGTAAAAGAGGACATTACTGGCAAATGACGAATTCACTGGCTGCTATCAAGTCCCAGGACGTATTTTTTTTCGATTGCAGACGTTAAGGGTAGCAAAAACACAGCCTGGATGGGACTCAGGAGCATTCATGGGCGATGGACCTGGACAGATGGATCTAGTATCACCTACAAGAACTGGGCTCCTGGTGAACCCGATGGCCTGGGTTTTCTGAATCCCATCGAACGAGCGAAATGTGCTGGCATTTACACCAAGGTTTGTGCTTCTGCTTTGTCTTTAATCAAATAACTATTTGTGATATTTGAAAAAAATCAACAAAGGTAATCATATATAATTACAAGACGTTAGGGTAAATATAATGAAGAAAGCTATAGTATGTTTTCCATCAAATTATAGGAGTGTTCAACGTTATATGTGGTCTTTATGTAGCCATTTCATAATAGCCATTGTCAATATATCGATTTTGGTTATATTTCCTACGTATAACAAGTCATAGTAAGCTCCGTTTCCAGTGAGAGATGGGGGGGGGGGGGTAATTTCTAAATTTTATACTGAGGGGTTATGCCATTTCTTCATCATCATCTTCGATATAATCATTCATTCAGGTAATATCCATTGTCTTGTAATTCGTAAATACGTCATACGCAATGCTGCCCACGTTATACGTGCTTGTTTCATTGTGAAAAGCCTAATCAATAAATTCATATTCAAACAGACTTGGAAGAAATGGTGGTTCGGACCAACAAACGATAAAGGACAATGGACGGACCAACTGTGTGACTCTAAGTATTTCTACATTTGCAAGCGTAAAGCTTGAAGTGTTTGGACTGCTAACCAAATCGTTAAGTGCCAGGGGAATTTTCATTCGTTCTTCAGATGATACAGAGACATTGGTTTAAGTTTACTTCAAACCAGTAGGGACTACAACATGATTTTTGTATATTTCCTAAGAAACTCATTTTGTGAGGTCCCTTTATTCATGTTAGAGACCTAAGTTTTAAAATGGCCACGTACTTGTACTTAGTATTATGTACTCAATCATGTGACAGGCCTAAATCTACATGAGCGTAATGGTTATATAAATGTATTTGTACTTAGGGACTGTACGATATTTACCGGGGGGGAGGGCTGGTGCAAAATGGTCCGGTAAAAAATTTTTTCCATGGCCCTCCCCCCGGCTCAAATTTTTTTTCAATGGCCCTCCCCCGGCTCAAAATTTTTTCAATGGCCCTCCCCCCACCCCAAAAAATTTTTCGGTGGCCCTCCCCCCCATAATTTTTTTCCAGTCCATGTCTCTTTCTCCCTCCGTAAATTCCCGAATGAAGTACGCATCCCGATTAAAGTGCGCACCCCCGATTTGGGGCTGGTGGGAGACAAATATCCCCGTCTGAAACGTAAAATGGAAAAACTCGAATTAAGTACGCACCCCTTCTACGCACGGCCGGTACCACAGTGAACATGTAGTATGACAGTTCGTCGTTCCAAACAAATTTAAAATTGTTAAAAACTAGATTTATGCCGTGTGCTACGTGATGGTATGGTAACGTAGCGGGAAACGTTTCAAGTTCTTTTGTTTTTCACCGCCGGCCACAGCCGACTTGCAAGACGTCACCACCGCATCGAAAGGTAAGGCAAGTGCGGCGAAACGCACAGATTTGGATCCAGCTTTGGAGTGTTGGTGTCTTGGTGATCAAACAAGCAATGGTCAATAAAGATTCGTGAAAAAAAGACAATATTTCAATATTGATTTTATCGGTAACGAGGGGGGGGGGGGTACTTGAATGTTGATGCACAAGTACGTAGCTTTAATGTTTTTAATACGAAATGCGCCGAACACTTCTTTAATAGCGCCCGCGCGATTGACCCATGGAGAGAAACAATCATACAGGCGGAGAACTGGGCGGAGTATTTGGGTGTTGAGGTGCTACCGAAACCAATTAACACACTGGGATCAATGGGACTTTCGATTCCGAATAGGAGAAAGTGACAAGTTTGACTGCGTTTCAAGTAATCTCTCGTTATGTGATAGATCGGTTTTTGTCACAAAATCAAAGGAATAAACAGTGTGTTTATTAATTTGTACTCCGTAAAACTTATAAGTACAGTCTGTTCAGAGGAAAGAAAGACTTCCTTCTCGGGGTCCATGTTCTGGAAAGCTGTCCTCAGCGCTGCGCATGCCACGGCCCTCTCTGTGTTTTTCAGCTGTAGGTGTACTTTGCCTGTCGGCGCGCCAAACACCCCACCCACCGGCCGGGCGGTAAGATTTCATCAAAGGCTACATTTTAAGTTAACTCCGCCCCTATCATTGTAGCTTGCCGAACAGTCGAGTAGGAGTACATCTAGATGGAATTTTCACGTCGTACTGGCTGGTGTAGCCCGCTACAAAGTAATTTCCTGTGGCATTTATTAAGATTTAAAAATATTTGTGATACGAAGTGAAACATGGTTAACAATTTCTGAACCTTTGAAACGACATGGGCATAATCTTTGTTGAAGATTCCTGAGTTGAACTCAAGCCGGAAGTGTATTGGAAATGATGACCATCAGTCGAGGCACAACTGTTATGTTATCACATATTACGTTACGACGATCAAGAACGTTCACGGCTTGCGGACCATTTCAAATATTACTACTCATAAACCCTACAATTGTATGTATACTTACGGGAGGTTATATTTTTGCCGGGGTTCCACTGAGATCGGCGCCGGCTAGCTGGGGAACGATCCCGTCGGCATGACAAAGCGCCGGGCGTCATTGCCAGAGACCTACATTTTCTTACCGTGGTTGACTTGACTTCTTCTTTTACCGCAACTTGGTGTCAATATCGACGATAGTCACAGGAAATATGTTCATTTATTGAAGTTTAACTTTATTTCCACTCGTCAATATTCTTATCTAAACATGGTATGGACGATCAATGTGCCAAGCTCCCCGTGCCGGTGTCCCGCTTTATTCCCGGGTCGTCCACGGATTTATCGGCGGAAAACTCAAATAAAGTACGCACCGCGACTTTGGCGACGGCCCGAGACACTTCTGGGATTTTGAAAAATGTAAAAAGTGCGTACTATATTCGGGAATTTCCGGCGTATTTCTTGTAATTCGGTACTACGCGACGCCATATTTTACAAAAGTTTTTCGGTGGCCCTCCCCCCCAGGCCGTTTTTTTTCGATGGCCCTCCCCCCGGCTCAAATTTTTTTTCCATGGCCCTCCCCCCAGGCCAAAAAATTTTTCAATGGCCCTCCCCCCCAGTGCACCAGCCCTCCCCCCCCCGGTAAATATCGTACAGTCCCTTAGTGTGCCCCATTAGTCATATAAGAGACCTAAGTCTACCGATGTGTGCACGGAAGACTTACTTGTACTTGTGATTAGCATGGCGTCCTTAGCCATTTACGGGGAGAGAATCTATAAAATTATATGCACTCGTGAGTCATATAAGAGACATACATCTGGCTAGTTCCTGTTTGTATATGATTAGCATGGCGTCCGAGGCTCGGTCAAGTAATGGGACAGAGTCTATAAAATTCAATGCACTCATAAAAAGTACTCTAGTATTTGAATTTATTTGGTATGTAATTGGCCTAAGTTTTGAAATGGTTACTTATTTGTACTTATTATGATTAAATCTGTCATGTGAGAGGCCTGAGTCTAAATGAGCCTCACGGTTGCATGAATGTAGTTGCACTAAGTATGATGCTATCAATCAAATGACAGACCTAAATATAGGGATGTGTGCACGCATGGCTGGTACTTACCCGTACTTATAATTGACGTGATGTAGCGTCCTCAACCATGTGCTGGGATAAAGTCTATAAAATTTAATGCACTCATGAATAATTACTGGCATTTGTGTTTTGTGAGGTCTCTTTATTCATGTAAGAGACCTAAGTCTTAAAATGGCCGCTTACCTGTACTTCGTATTATGTACTTAGTCATATAAGAGACCTAAGTCTAAATGTGCCCCATGGTTACTTAGATGTATTTGCACTTGGAATGGTGCAATTAGTCATATAAGAGACATCAAGCTGGCTAGTACCTACTTGTACGTATAATTAGCATGGCTTCCTCGGCCAAATGCTGGGATAGAGTCTATACAATTCAATGCACTCATGAAATATTACTTGTATCTGTACTTAATGGGGTTTCATTTTTGATGAAAGAGACCTGCATGTGGGGATGTGTGCACGCATGGCTGGCACGGCTAACTTGTACTTAGAATTAGCATGGTGTCCTGAGACAAGTGCTGGGACAGAGTCTATACAATTTAATGCACTCATGAATAATTACTTGCATTTGTGTTTTGTGAGGTCTCTTTATTCATGTAAGAGACCTAAGTCTTAAAATGGCCACTTACCTGTACTTGGTATTATGTACTTAGGCATATGAGAGACCTAAGTCTAAATGTGCCCCATGGTTACTGAAATGTATTTGCACTTGGCATGGTGCCATTAGTCATATGAGAGACAAAAGCTGGCTAGTAGCTGCTCGTACGCATAATTAGCATGGCTTCCTTGGCCAAATGGTGGGATAGAGTCTGTAAAATTTAATGCACTCATGAAAAATCACTTGTATCTGTATTTAATGGGGTTTCATTTTTTTATGTAAGAGACCTGCATGTGGGGATGTGTGCACGCATGGCTGTTACGGCTAACTTGTACTTAGAATTAGCATGGTGTCCTGAGACAAGTGCTGGGACAGAGTCTATAAAATTCAATGCACTCATGAATAACTACTGGCATTTGTGTTTTGTGAGGTCTCTTTATTCATGTAAGAGACCTAAGTCTTTAAATGGCCATTTACCTGTACTTGGCATTATGTACTTAGTCATACAAGAGGACTAAGTCTAAATGTGCTTCATGGTTACATAAATGTATTTGCACTTTGCATGGTGCTGTAACTCGTCGGATTACCCAGTTCTCCTCTTACATATACTTTAATAATACTATAAAGAGTCAGAATGTTCGACCACTCGGATACTGCGTTCTTGTGTGACAGTACAGTTTATTCAGGACAATAGATATCAAAGATCAACAGTTACTGGGCATTAACAATTACTAGAAAGGACATTAACGATTACTAAACGGACATTGCGTTGTGTAATAGACGAACATTAACACTTACTTCGTGGAGACGGCAAACTACAGGAACACACGCTACGGGAACACTGGCACTGACTCAGGCTGAAACTGCAACTGACTAACTAGGGAGCTTGCCTCCCTTTTATCCTGTCAAACTTACTGAGTCAGGCATTCCTAGTTTCCTGGAAGACGTAAGGATTCCTTACCCAAATAAGGTCAGGGGAATTTCCTTAACACATGGAAGTCCTTAGATAAGAGGAGTCTCCTGTAGTGAGCGCCTTTCCGAGAAATTGGTTGTGTCCCTGACTTCAGCAGAACTACATCTGGTTCAAATTCATATACATTCTCTTATGCAACTCAGCAGAACCACATGTTCTCTAACTCCGTATTTCTTATCTGTTACAGTGCCATTAGTCATATAATACACCTAAATCTGGTTGGTTTCTGCTTGTACGAATGATTAGCATGGCGTCTTCGGCCAATTAAGTGCTGGGACAGAGTCTATAAAATATAGTGCACTCATGAAAAAATATTTGTATTTAGTGAAGTTTCATGAAAGAGACCAACATTTAGAATGGCTGCCTGTACTTAGTATTGTGTCCTCGGTCACATGAGAGGCCTGAGTGTGCCACGTGGTTACTTACATGTATTCTTTATTGACTCGACAAAAGTACAGGGACTTTCGTATGGTCTATTACAACCAGGATCTAACAAACCTGAATGCATGTAGGAATAAAGTCATCCTAAATTCAGAATACATGTATGCAGCAAACTACCTACAGAATATATGTCAATGACAACTTTTGAGACTTTACTATTGTCTAACATTCTTTAATGTATTTTCCTAATATTTACACACTTTATGGATTATCTCCACTTTAAATGTATTGGAATTTATTTATAGGATCTAATATATTGAAATCAATTGAACAATCGGACAAAAAGGTGAACAGCAATAGGTGTTTATTATTGTAAAGTGAACAATCCAATATGAAATGGCGCTCATTTTCAATCATGGTTGGCAAAATTGACAAAACCTGTGGTCATTGGGTATTTCCTCATGTAGACACAACTAACAATAAATGTTGTGGTCACTTTGCAGATATCTTAATTATACTCAAAGATACTCAAGGCCTATTGTTTTGTCAACAACTTTCCTTTAATGTGGTTTCAACAGAATGCATTCATGCTTTTGCACTTAATGTGGTGCTATAAGTCATGTGGGAGACATAATTCTAGGGATGTGTGCACACATGGCTGGTTCGTACTTAGTCCTTGTACTTGTAATTATCATGGCGTCCTCGGCCATGTGCCCGGACAGAGTCTATAAAATTCAATGCACTCATGACTGATTACTTGTATTTGGTGAGATCTCATAATTCATGTTAAGAGACCTAAGTTTAGAAATGACTATTTGCACTTACAACAGAGTCTATAAAATTCATGAATAAACTATGAGACTCATATTTTCGTCCCAATACTGTATTCTTTGTACGTTCCCAAAGCCAGTCATATTGTTAGGCCCCCATTTCATTAAGGCCCCCCATTCCACTTAGTGGCGCTCTCTCCGCGACTTGAAATTGTCCAGAGCGCGGAGAGAGCGCCGAACTGCACGAAAAACGTGTTCAAGTGGAATCTCTAAAGCAACCTCTCTGCGCTCTCTGCGCGACCAAAACTCAAATGGCAACAGCGTTTAGGGGCGATCAACGAATTCATAGCTCACTTATCTAATTAGGTATTATTTAAAAATACATATCTATTGGCCATTCCCTGTAAATACATTGTTTATACATTCGTGTGATCGCATACATTCCGAGCGTTAATTAATAGTTCAAAAAGTAACAAATGTACAAAAAATAACAGACGCCACTCATTGGATTCCCCTTATTCATTGACAGTAACAAATAATTTGAATATACGTTTTCAATTTGCCATTCGTTTGGAATACTTTTTTGACACGGTGAAAGTGTTGTGTACCTGTTCGTGTGTGCTCAAATATTTTGACTAATAGTCAAGAGAAAAAAATAGAAAATATCACAGACGCTTTTTAGTAGCTTACTCAATTACGTATCATTTCAATATACAGGAAAACTGCCATTATCATACGCCAAAAATGCCCTACAAACTGGTAACATTTTCGACCATGTTGTGGCCATCGCTGAAGGTAGGCACTACGTTTTCCTTGGTCCCTTCGTCGTCTGGTAAAAATGTTGGATTGCTTGCAGCATTGGACATCTTGACTTCTATCGCTTCGTTTTCCTAAAGAAGAAAGAATTACAAATGGTAAGTGTGCAAAGGACATACGCCGCTGGTAAAACTGTGACACGCAGCTATCACGTGGCAGTCACGCGTGCACGATGCAGTTACGCGGCAATCACGTGGCAGTCACGCGTGCACGATGAAGCCACGCGGCAATCAGGTGTTCTCCTAACGAAGGTTTGAATGACGGTTCCAGGACGACAATCGGTTAATTTGATGTTTAATGTGTCACAGTAACATGAACTTGTTTAACCGTTTATCTCCATGGCTTTCCCATTAAAAATAAGCTTGGTAGGTATTCAATTTACCCTCTACTTTGTTACTTTCTTCGAAATGGTTGTGTTAGGTACGCTATATATATATTATGTAACGCAAAGTGTATTGTATTGCATTGTATCTTTGACTCTGTAAAACAATTAGCCTTTGGGTATGATTTTGCAAATAAAGACTTATGTTGAGCTTGCCGATCTTTTAAACGTTCATAGCTGTAGTGCGGTGCATGTATCCTCATGCACAATATTCGGTAATGTTATGTAGCTTGTGGTTGGGACAATAAGGTCCATTCTGGGTAATCTAGCGGCCTTTAACGGCACTGCAGTGGTACTCATGGTATGTGCTGTAGTATATATATGTTGTCGATATGCTATGGTGAGAAGGACTAGAAAAGTAGAAAAACGTACTCCCTCTTCGCGTGGCACCCCGCAGCGCAGCCATTTTAGCCAACTGTCGGGCAGGCAGCAGAAGAACCGCTCGTAGAATGGTATAAACAACTTGGCGTCCATTTCCTTCGGATCCTGTGATCCTGAAAAAAGAAAATGCATAGATTTTTCTCCCGGATGAAATCAACAATATGAAATAATAAGGCACGAATAATCAATGAGTGACTAACTATTTCACTATACAAAAATTAACTTAAGTAGTGGCTGATAATATCATTAAACATGCTTATACTTACTAGTGTGAACTTTGGCACTCCAGATTAAATGTCATATTACTCTTTTGTTACGAATCACCAAAATTTTAACGATATGATGTAAGATGAGACTCTTGTGGTAGCAGTTGACAGTTTTTGCCTTATAAGGGATCTTCTATAGATAAGAACTCCAAGGTGACTCAGTTCGACATGCCAAAAATTATAGTAAGGCGCACTTGAGATCGAGAAATTCGAAAAAAAATTTAGTACAAACTACAAAATTCTGAAAACAAATCCGTCGGCGAATTTGTTTTTGCCCTCTGAAATTGTGCCCTGCGGAGGTCAAATGAATTGCAGCCCAAGGCCAGTTTTGTTTTTTATGGTGACGCATACATACACAAGCGCCACCTGGCGGAAATGATGCATACCTGTTACAAAACTCACTATGAGCCCCACGATGACACATGTCACTGTGGCCAGGCCGCCGAACCAGACGTAAGACAGCTCGTACAAAGCTGCTTCAGGAGGACTGTTCAAAACAGACAGAAAACAGCACATTTAAACAAAAATATTTACATATTTAAGATAATGCTATTTGACTGCAAAAAAATAGTTATATTACACCTTATGTTATGCACGTGTATTCGCTTGTGGAATAACAAGGTATAAAATCACATTGATGAATCTCTATCCACATCATAAATATGAGTGTACACATATTTACCTACACATACACCAACATGAAGTCATAAACGCCCCCCAACATACACACATTCATACACAACTACATACTTATTACATACATATATATTACATACATATATACAAACACCACGTACATTGTACAAACACCCACGCTATGTAAAAACAAAAGCACACAATGATGTCGAGACACAAGTACTAAAAAAACTTACATCTACACTAAAACAGACGCAAACGCCCCAAGCACAGATACACTTACTATCCATTGTCAGCAGTTGGAGTGGTGATGCTGAACTGTGCCATGCTGGTAGACATGGGGGCGCTTGTCGTGAAGTTTGCCGTGACATTACCAGGACATCCTTCGGTCGAGATCGGCGGCATCCACCGAGCCCGCGGCCACACGATCCCGCCCATCCCGACCCACAAGGTGATGAACAGGCTGCTTATAAGGCCAACCAGACCTCCCTGTATAATACATGTTCATATATGTTTACAGTTAAAACTTTTGATCCAACACAAGAGATAGTTCTCACCTAGAGCTTTCAACCAGTTACTCTAGTCTTCTTCAATGAATGTATAGACCTTCATTATACGTTTTTGCTCTTACAAGCTAAGTACAGGTCATTACTAAACGGGAAGAAATAATATCTTACTTAATTATTCATGATAATGTAAACTAATATTCAGAGGTTTAGCTTCTCCTCGTTTCCTGATATTGCGGCAGTTGTTTAAGTATGAACACATTTAATGATACATGGTTTGTTAAATTCTATTAGGAATACATATTTTTCTGTTTTATCTAAAAGTCCAAAGCTGGGAAACTTAATCCTTTATATATAGCAGGGCAAAAAAATTCAAGGGTCTATAACGTGGTAAAGACATCAAATTATTTGATAACAACTCGGCCTCTCAACGTGCGTTTTGCGAATGTGTGTGTTGGGGGGGGGGGCTTGGCTTCCCTTTTTCTTTAAACTTTTGTCTTCATAGTTCTGTATCATTTCTTTTGAGCTCAGGCCAATTATACCTCTTTTGAGGAATAGCGTGCATTTGTGTGGAAAATGGGTAACTTGTAGTACGTGTCAGACATAGTTCTTTCGTAAGGATGTGGGTGGCCCTGAAAAAACTGCCATCAGGACAAGGGTTAAACAACTCACCCATTTGTTGGCGCACGGGAACATCATGCCGAGCACAAAGATGCCGAGCATCGGCCCTCCCAGCATGCCGAACAGACTCAGCGCCGCCTGGACCACCGAGCCCAGGAATGACGCGACGTAAGCCATGAGAATCATCAACCCGCCAAAAAACATCGCTGTATAGTGATTACAATAAAAGTCTGTTACAGTTTGCTTATAAGCTAGATGTTGTAAGTTACGAAAAAAAAATCAAGAAAGACACGAAATTGATAGAGTCGACCGATGTACATGTATTACTTTGCTTTTGACACAATAGGTCATTGATTTTGCAGTATTAGTGACATCCACGGTCTTTACTGTGTGGAAAGTTCAAAAGTTGCTTAAAGGATTTCTACTCCTTGCACTCGCAGCGTTTTTTTTTTTCGTGTGGGGGGGAGTGTGATTTTTACATGGGCTAATGTTTTATAACACTCAGCATAACCCCCTCTAGCGCACGAGAATACGTAAGCCTGTGTAAAATAAATCAGGCAATTATCACCCCCCTAATAAACAGATGCTTCAAGAAGTCTACGAATGTTAGCTAGTATACTTGACTCTATGCAGATTTATTTCTACTCACCTAGAAATTTAGATATCCAAGTATACTTTTCATCGCTGAAGTTGGGGAAGCAGGGCTTGACGAAGTCCTCCAGTGCTACGGCGGCCAGCGCGTTCAGCCCCGAGGACATGGTGCTGAGAGCCCCGCTAAACACACAGGCCGTGAAGAGACCAGGCATACCCGGGTACTTACTAAGGATGTCCATTACAAAGTACGGCATCATCTGTTTCAGGAAAACAATGCTAAAGCGTAAGCCTTTTGACTAGCCTTACGAGAATGGTTTTTGCAAAGCTTGTAATGTTGTAGCTTTCTATAAAAATTACAAAAATCAGGCAGCATTTTGATTTTTCGATTTTTTAGATAATAAAGAATGTTGTCTCTTACAATGAAAAACAAACCATGTTAATTCAATGATAGGTACAGGTATTTCTAAACAGGCTCTAAGAGCCGGGCTTTGGAAAGCTTGTTATTTTGTGACTCCCTATAAGCTTCGCTGGGAAAAACATGCAGCATTTTTATTTTTTTGACAAGAAAAAAATGTTTGCTCTTACAATGATAATACATAGTGTAATTTAAAGTCCTTGCTGCACGGCTCAATATGTAAACAAAGCAAAATAAAAAGCAAATAAGTAATATGAAAGAAAGAAAAAATGCATAGATCAAAAGGTAAAAAAATACTAACTTATCTAAATGTATACATTATGTATCTTTCGATTTTGTACTCAAAGAGGTTAGGTGCAAAGAAGATAGAAATACGTGTACCTTTTATTAATTGAATTAACATAATACTGTAGTCAAACCCAATTTTCACGCTTAGAATTCCATATCTCCAAGGCCCGTAAATACGATCTATGCATAACTTCAAACACTAACAGAATTTTTACGTACTATCTACCTGGTCTGAGTTGTCAATATCCCCTATCGTCTTCGGATCGCACAGATAGTAACGTGCGTACATCACCATCCCACTCACTACTGCAAACGCGATGAGCACGACCAGCCCCAGTATGTTCCAGTAGAGGGCGCTGCAACACAAGAACATGATATTGACTCTGGCGTTCACCTGACTGTGACGTAAGTATTGTCCGCCATGTTGGATGGCTAGACCCTGAGTTGACAGTTGTTTTTGAATTTGTGTCAACACGTTATTCACTTTCAAATTTAAATGCGCAAGTACTGGCGATCGGTTGTTTGGTTGATTGGTTATTTAATTGGTTAGTTTAAAAAAATGGAAATAGAGTCAAACTTGTCTAAGATGATCAGTCAGGAGACCAAGCAAAAAGCGCCATCTTATACAAAATATATAGGATGGAGAACAAGAAAACAGCGGCAAAATGTCCGCCTAAAATATATTATAGACTAGCTAAGTGACTAGTATCTACCAGACTAACTACGCTGGCTATATATAGGAGAATATTTACCAGGGGAGTTTGGCCGCCTTGTAGTTTTGCCGGACCCCCAATTTTACTCTCTTTTTTTGCCAAATTCTACGATCCGTATTCCCGTAGAAAGGCCTGGTGGAGGCTACTAGGTGGCCCAGCCGGCGCCATTTTACATTGCGCAAATTCGGTCATACTGTCGAAATCAATGGTAAACTGGCCAATTCTATCATGACTTATCCCTTGTTATCATAATAAATGGCTGGTTTGTAGAGGTGGAAAAGGCTGGATAAGTTTCACTGTATTGCTTTTCTTACCTTTCACCGTAAACTTCACACTCTGACTGCCCTCTATTAGCTAAAGAACGGACACTGTCCGCCCAACCTTCTCAGTCTCCTACCAACCACCAGATCATCTGCCATTGAATCTAGATATTCCCTCAGAAACGGAAATAACCTTTCTCCGCAAGCCCCCCAAAGTGTCAGAACAAAAAAAACTTCTTCTACAGGTCCGCCCAACTGTGGAACTCTCTTCCACAGGACACACAGACAGCTTTATCCCTAGCCTCATTCAAAGTTAAAGCATGGCTCTCCCTTGGAGACCAGTTTTCTGTATAAGACAGCACATATTCTATTTTCACCAATCTTACTGTATGTAATTGTATTGCATGCAATTTGTATGTAATAATGAGCAAAATTTGTTGACCCTGAGGAATTAAGACGTATTTAAGAAATTTTACTTGTATGTATTTAACCACACTTTTTCCCCAGGTCAAGCCCTTGATAATAGCTTCAAGCTAGTTGGGCTGCCCTGGCTGTGTTGTACCAGACAAACCAATAAATAAATTAATGAATAGACTGTTTTGCAAGACTACTCACGTCTGTGCCTGTTTGACAGAAGGGCAGCTGAGATACCGCTGGACCTGTGCCTGGTTAACCCCGTATATAGACGCCCAGATGAAGATACCTCCGATGTAGATGCCCCACGAAGAGTGCCGGATCCTTGGGTCTGGGTCAAAGCTTTGTATGAATCACAAAACGTAAAGGTATAATTCAAAATAATACAGGCACAACAGGGTGTAGAGGGGGTACATAGGTACAGTTACGTTTGAAACTGCATCATCCTAATCACAACGCCCCCAATACATGTAAATGTGAATAACATAAGAATGTGATAAAACTATATTGTAAATTTACAGTTTTCTAAGGGTGTGTGTATGGCACAAATGGTTGACAGGATAATACTGCTAGTACCACTGTGGTTAAATATAATGAAATAAGGTAGTATTTTGGTGCAATAAGCAGTTTGATCATGCAACATTTAAAATACATCGTTCGTTACTTTGGCAACAAATACCTAAGCAAAAACATATGCACTCACATTTCGACAAGCCAAAAAAAAATCTATCTCTTCTTGCGAGTTAAGAAAAAAAGAACACAAATGTCTCAAAACCAAAATGTAGTGAATCAAATAACTGGAATTCAAAAGAAAACTAAATAGGATTTCTCACTTGAAGAACTCCAGTCTCTCTCCCTGACCGTTGATTTCCCAGACTCGAGCAGGTCCTCCGACTTCTATGGTTCCCTGGATGATGACGACCAGGAACCCCGCCACCATCACAACTACCTGGAACGTGTCCGTCCACATCACAGCCTTCATACCGCCCTAGAATAGTTGGAAATGCACCGTAAATGTACGAAGAAACGTACCTATCTACACAGAAAGATCTCAAGTCAGCCTTTTACGTCTATGACCCTCACCAGCTTCATTGTCCATCAGCAAGAGTGGCAGCACATCGTGGTAGCCTACAGTACTAAGGCACGCAGCTGTGGAACGACCTTCCCACTGAACTGAGAACACTGACTGAGTTCAGGACATTTAAACGACGCTTGACGAAGATGCATGATATGTAAAAGGTATTTTGGTAGAATAACTGTAATTGTTGTAATTGTTATTGTGGTTGTATTGTGTTGTTTCTTTAAAACAGGATTGTCTGAAAAACAGTGCAATTTTCCTGTATAAATAAATAAAGTGAAATGAAGTTACGTACACGTATAGGACCGTCATCAAAATTGTTGGAACTAGGAATAAGATATCACATTTACGCTAAGTTAAAGTGTACTTAAATAACGGCCGGTCATATTAGAATGCTATGCATTGGCAAATGCATAGAAATATTGCCGATAAGTTGTTTATGCTACTGTCCCTTGATATGCTAATCAAGGACACCAACATGGCGACCAGCTTGTGGCCATGGAAAGTAAAGGGCAAAGGTCACTATCACACGCAGCCCCAATGGGCTAATCAAAAAATGGGTGCATACATGTACGATTGTTAATCCAATGATGTTCTGTATCAAATAACTCGAGAATTTTCTAGTTATGGATGAAATGCATATAAATTTATGGAAAGAAACTTAACTTGTTTAAGAACAACTTTTTGATACTATCAGAAATATTTGTTCACTCTGCCTTCATACCAAGTTCAGGTCATTTGGACCAATAATGGCAGAAGCACGAGGAGAAGCATGAAAGAAAACGATACATTTCATCGTATGGACTTTAATATTAAAAAATCTTAACAGCTAAATATAGTTATTCATGACTTTCACACTTCCCATAATGCCTACGGATATGACGTAAGAAGCGGATATACGTAATGTGACCGTGCAAGTAGGGGGGTCTTCGGTAGAAGGTCAGGGGGAAATGATACTATCCCATCATCCTTTGCAATACACATTCCACAACACGTGTCCCAGATGGCTGACTGTCAGCACCAGGCATATAGTCTTGTCATGTTTCCTTTAAAAGTGCAGCAATGGCAACAATTTGACCAGTAATTTTTGGTTCTTTGAATTATCAAAGGACTCAAGTAGTGTATGAGGCTATCTGACTTTTGTAACTTATGTACAACTTCTTACATTGTGTCATAAACATTTATGCAAACATTTGCTTCAAAAATGGTGCTCAAACTTCACCAAACTAAAGTGCTTTTCTACAAACTCTGTTGATTGGTGATATTATACATCTTGTACATCAGAAAACCCCAAATGCACCAAAAAGCACCCATGGGAAACAGAAGAAAATATTATATTTGATATGATTTATGTAATAATCATCAACAAATCGATGATGGGATAGTATCATTTCCCCCCCTGGTAGAAGGTAGAACGATAGAAGGTACGTCATTTTCTCTAATTCTAACAAAAAATGCAATTATGGCATACGTTTATACTAGATGAATAATTAAAACAATATAGTTGACCAGTTTGTCGATAGACCTATTTGGAAATATTACATCGAGGAAGGGGGGGGGTCATACGTCATATCCGTGATCTTTGCTAGGCATTATGGGAAATGTGAAAATCATTCATATGTCACTTACCAAGGTTGTATAGAACGTACAGACCACGCCTACTGCGGCAACGGCTCCCCACAATGTTAGCCCCGTTACTGGAACAAAAACATCAAGTCCCTGTTCATGGAAAATATTTCCATAAAATGTGTCAATAAATAATAATGCCGATCTCATAGCCTGCACACCTCAGTTAAAACGTAGTTATGCGAATATTTAATGACCTACAGTCACCCATTGGTGGAACCAATAATATACATGCTACTTTTTGGTCGAACTGCTAATTGTGATAGATGGTCAGAATTGATCTATTCTAAAGGCTTGTTAAGTATCTATATGTATTTCTGTGTTTGTTTGTTTGCTTGTTTGTAGTTTTACACTCACCCGCGTTAAGGGCCAAGGAAGGTGTGTACAGAACTAGCCCCATATACACCAACTGTAGCAACACAAAGTAAGAAGTTAAGAATAAACAAAGCGAATTCGTCAATGTCTACCTATAACTTTATAAATCATAATGTCTAGAAAACTCTACTACACATCCATTTGCATTTGAATATCTGCACGTGGGTTTTCATGACTATCTCGAAACGTTTCAAAGCTTAATCCCAAATGTAAATGATTTATAAATAAAAATCACACAATGGTATACAGATTATCGGGCTCTAGTTTCCTTTCTTATATATATTGATAATCCAATAGACTTACCATGTTCACCATGAATACTACGGTAGTAAGAAGGCGAACAGGTTTGGAGAAACGTATTTCTAGATACTATATGGGAAAAAAAGGAGAAACTATTGTTTAGAAATCCTGAAATAAAAAAATCAGTAAGTTATAAAAAACACAAAACGTAGTATCATAGTTTCCAATAATTGCTATAATAACAAACCTTTATTCGTTTTGGTATATATTAAGTCGTTATTACGTCAAAGCAATAAACGAGAAAGCTTTGCTTAAAAAACAATGCTCGCTTTGCTCACTCGGTGGTTTATTAAATAAATAGGCCCCTGGGTCTAGATTAAATGTTAGATAAAGTAACTACCAACATGAAACAGGTGCTTTCTAACGTCGAAGAAATAGATTTAATTTGTTTAAACGAATTATGTCATCAATGTATCATTGATAATGCAATTGTATTGTATTGTAAAATGACTCACGTTGGAACCCAAGCATAAAACCCTGGCACAATTAAGCGCCACCAATAACAATACTTCCGTCCCGGAAGCAATATAAGCAAACCTCATAGGTGCTAGTCAGTCCCATGTTGTAGAAGGTCGGTACAAATAGCCTCGCTACCACCACCATGGCTAAGGAGTCTGCCACCGCGAAGTTCCAGAACATGGTGCCGTTATTGTACACCTCTGCCGGTGTCCCCAACACCGTGATGGCGGAGATGAACGAGGCTAACAAAGACATGGTCACGGGCACTATGGACATGGACTGAAAGAAAACAGATTGATGTCGACATAAGTTTGATTTGTGGTCATATTCTTTATGCTGAAGTGAAATACAAAACAGTCGACCTTAATGCAATTTAATAACCACTGATATAATTCAATGGTTATTGAATTGCATTAGGGTCGACCTTTTTGTATTTACTCCTGTTTTCGTTTTTTCCCCTAACATGAAAAACGGTGAATCCAATAACAGTAAGAGGTGGTCTTAGCATATTTTTTCTATACCCTCACCCACAAGCTTGGAGATTAAGGAGATCATTTAGTCTGCCAACTTGACCTTAAAGTCAATCTGCGATTACAACCCCATTCCTGCTAATCTTTACGCATTCAAATACCTTCGAAGACACAAGCAAACGCACACATACACACACAGACACACACACACACACACACAAACACAAACACACAGGGATCACTGACCTTATCTGCCATGAGAAACTCCTTCTGAGTTCGCTGCTTCCCGCCCGTGCATGCGTAGAACAGCCCGATACCGGCGGAGATGCAGAGCATGACGGCGAACACCACGTAATCCCACACGCCGAAATACCGCGCCTCGGTCGCCATGGCTTCTCAGTACTGTGTGAACGTTTTTGAAGATGAAGCACACTTTGTCTTAGAATGTGCGGTATACAATGACATCCGGAAATCCTTTATTAGCTCCTTACATCTAGAAAAGATATGTGCATACTTCAAACATATTATGACATCCAAGCGCTATGATATAATTGAAAAATTATGTAAATTTGTTCATACATGTTTCAAAAAGAGAGAAGAGATCCCGTAGTTAGATCCTGTAAATAAAAAAATAGCACACGAATGTAACAATTGCTTCTTCTATTCTTGTTACCAAGTTATTTAACATTTGGCCCGTGTAGGGCGTGAACATGCAATAAAGTTCATTGTCATTGTCATTGTCATTTTTTTAATTTTTTTCTTATTCATCAAACATAAAAACATAACATGGACAGTGTGACGTTGCACTCAATATTAAAACTTTTATTAACAGCTCACAACAAAAAAGGTACAATTAACATTTAAATACACAAGGTTGACATATCTGTGCGCCGTAGTCCCACCACCCCAAGACATTAAAATGTTAATGCTAACAAAGTTATTTGAAATATAAAATTACGTGGTAACCTCCTATATCTCATTGACATTGGCGGAAAAACATCCGCCAATCAGAGCTAGGAGGGGAATTTAGGCCCATTAACACGTACGTAATATTTGGACTTCTATATCTAATTGACTGTTAGAAACAGTCAAGCAGAGCTAGAAGCGCTTGGTATCTCCAATGTAAATCTGAGTGAGTTGCTTCGTTTTAAAGTTGTACATAGAGGGTAACAATGTGGAGCCTCTAAGAATAAAATGTGAACATTTCAAGCAAAAAGGTTCTTTATCTATTAAATTTATTATGTTTACGGAAGGAAAACATTGTTTTTGCCAAGTTTCCTCTTCTTCCTCAATTCCAAACACTGACCTCTGACCTGGCCAATGACCAGACTGTCTCTCACCATGTTAACTGGTGTAGTGTTACATAATGTTGCAATTTTATAGTACGAGCGATTCGGACTCCTGTCACCATATATGTGATTGTGTTTGAGTAGAATTAACAGAGCAGATGATTTGCAAAGGTAAACAGTTTTCATTTGCAAAGCAAAGGTTACATTTCTAGTTTATCCATTAGTTTATAATTCATTATTTTACAGATTGTTACAGAATACTTACCACGAGGAAAAATATCTAAGAATCACAAACATTCGACACAGAACAGCCATCACAAAACTCCGGATTAGTTCACACAAACTCCACATAGAAAAAGGCAGACACAACCGCATTCCTCTACAGCAAAGGATTTGCCAATGCTGTGATTGATTTAAAATGGAGTATGAGTGTCATTTTGTAGTGCCTTAATACTGACAGTACACTTGACTAGTAGGTCGATAAAATGACACATTCTCATGACACCAATTAATAATTTGACTGAAGCTCAGGAGCAGTCTGTCCCGATTTAGGCCAGGCCTATATTTCAAAACAAATCCACTTTGACTTAAATTCCATTCATATTTGACCCCAGAATACGCCCAAAACACTTCTGACCTACTACCGAACATTGTCGACCCACAACCCCCATCCACACCGGCATGTTTATGCCATTTAAACATTCATCAGATACTAGTATATTCAGCCGAATGGTACTTTACAGAACACTAGCCGACCACTTCCAACTATGGTTGGGGGGAGTTCGGCAGTGTTCGGGAGTGCATATCCGTCTAAATTAGGACAGGGGCGTTACATAACTTGTCAGACCCTTTTTTTATCTGGTAGCAAATAAATCAGAAATGGGGTGGGGCATTTGAAGGCTTGTACGTCACGGCGCAGTAGTTTTCTCGTAAGCTGTCGATTGCATGAATGGTTTTAAAATTTCCTAGCTGGCACTGTGACAGATCAAACAAACTGTGACAAGGGTCTTAGACAGCCTTTTTGTAGCAAGACATATAAATTGTGTGCTATTTTTCAACGACTGTGACCGACTCCTAACATTTGAGTTGCGGGTCTCTGAAATCAAGTTCCCCGTGAGCCATGTTTTCTTCAATACCTAGGCAAAATTTTATATGCAAAATATACAAATGATTGAACCTCTTGACACAAATAAGCCAAATTGTCGACAGATCAAACAAACTGTGACAAGGGTCTTAGACAGCCTTTTTTTTGCAAGGCATATAAATTGTGTGCTATTTTTCAACGAATGTGACCGACTCCTAACATTTGAGTTGCGGGTCTCTGAAATAAAGTTTCCCGTGAGCCATGTTTTCTTCAATACCTAGGCAAAATTTTATGTTCAAAATATACAAATAATTGAACCTCTTGACACAAATAAGCCAAATTGTCGACAGACAACAACAATACAGAATTCACATGTCCGAACACGTTACAAAAAGCACACTGAAACGTGCTCTTTGCCCCACGCAATCACTGTCTATTTGCTTTGTACTTGAATACACCAAACGCCCTGTTCACAATACGATGCCCCGATGATTTTGCAACTTTTGATAACAAAGATGCAAAAGGCTTGAGATAAGGGTACAGAATTACATCAAATGAAAAAGTAGTTACTTGAACCTGTAGATGGAAACATTATATGCAGCAGGGTATGCAATTTACTCTAATTATATGAAAGAAACAACATAAAAGATATTGTTAATTTTGTTACTCTAACCTTAGGTGTCAGCACAAAACCGCTTCCTCTGGTTGGTTGTTGTCGCAAATCCAATCAATTTAATGCCCGGATTGGGTCTCTTTAAACCGGGTCGAAGTTGTTGACCACGCCGTACGACCTGTGCATCTCGTGCCGATGTGGGCATAGGTTACCCTCTATCAGAATCTTAACATGAGCCGTATGTACACAGCGTTAATCATTTTCGAATTGTAATTACGTGCTTGATGTTATGTAATTTGCTGACACGGTTTGCACTGTTACGTACTGTACATGTATACGCCCCTCACGCCAGATAAGGGAGCATATTAGAACGACCCAGTGCAATTTCTTGGTGGCAATACAAACATATAACAAGCTGCTAGGGGGACCAAACCCACACCACTTATTCCTGACAGGAAAAGCTATCTGTCACCAAAAAGTCAAGACCATAGCATGTTCATTCAAAAGATACAAAAACAGAAGTTCTGCTGCAGTACTAAGGTCAGCCACCAGGAGGCCCATATTCAATCTTGACCTTTGTCGTTCTAAGACTTACCAACATACCAAATATCATTACAATTTATAAAGGCGTTCTGAAGTTATGCTGACTACAAAGTTCCGGAAACGCACACAAGCAGACAGACAAACAGAAACACACACACACACACACACACACACACACACGCACACAGGCACGCCAAAACAATGCCTCCACTTTTCATGGAGGTAATTATATGAGAAGATTTGTATGATATTGACATTTACTTCCATTTCTTAGCCCCAAAAAAACAAGCTGCGTGAGGCGTCTCTTTATTTTTGGGTACCACTCAAAAATAACTAGAACCAGTCTGTGATACTACACAAATAACCGTTTTCCGTCAGCGATATCATATTATTGCCTCTCAGATATCAGTATTGGAAAGGATTGATTCAACTTAGTACATTTTAAGAATAACCAGAACTTGACTTAAAAAATCAAGGTTTGTCACCCTGTGCATTGGATGTCCATGAATGAAATATTTCTAGACATAACAAAAAGTACGTCGATTTACTAACTATCCATACAAATAAACAAGTGGGCACAAGTAAACGTACAAAAAGTATAACGATAATTCACGTAAATTTTGGTGTAGCGGTTACACTACTGTATGATATATGCCAGCATGGCAGATATTGAACGAATCCATGCATGCCTTGCGGGTTCATGGTGCTTGGTTGTCTACTGCAGTACCATCAAGTACCGCATTGTGACCAAGCTTAACCAAGCAGCCACGGAGACCAGTAGAACACACAAGTTCGACTATGTGTCTCCTGACGAATTCAGAATTACTGCATTTTGGAATTTCTGGTTTTGAAAACTTAATCATTTCGTGAAAGGTTTTATATAGTAGCAAACGTACTTGGAAAACATGGATAAGACTATAAGGAAAAAATTATTTGCGACTTTAGGTCTTTATGAATATGAACATATATTTCTTGGGATAGCGATTGCAGTTTGACAGAATCACCGATTTCATGCCATTGGGAAAGGCACTTAACACGACTTTTCTCACTTAACTCAGGTACAAATGAGTATTGTCCTGTCCTGTATTTTTCGTCTGCGTTGGTGGCGGCATAAAATAAGTTGGAAAAACGTAAGTGTGCCGGCAGCATGTCCAGTCATGAAATGTTGGAATCCATTAAGGAAAACAGTGCCAACGATCATTTTCCGTAATGAGACAACTTAAATTCTGTACGACATACGCACATTTGCCGTATGATCTCGAACGATGATCATACGATCGATGTGACCAGGCTCTTAATTAGTTAAAATTTACCACCTCAACCAATGGCCGCTTACTGCAAATTGGGCCAAATCCTTGTGTACACCGATTGAAAACTGGGACACACAGATAACTAAACCACGTGCCTCTCACAGGTGCAAAATTAAAAGATAGTGCAATAAAAACAGCATTGTGTATTGTTCCTTCAGTCAGTGATCCTAAAAACTCCTTGCATTGTGTGTAAGGAACTTTCATCACAAACCTCTTTTGTGAGTCCAAATTTGGTTTTTGACCAATTTTTGCTCCAGAAATTTAGTTCTCCTTCTCAGAAGAAAACTGACCTTTGGAGTCTGTGAAAGAACGGTGACTATAAGACTTTACCAAAGTGTTGCCGCGTTGCTTCGTTCAAACAACGTTTAATATAGGTAAGTCCTTAAATCATTTTATAGCCTTAGAATGATACTGCACTGTTCTCAAGCCCATAGTATTAACAATATATGTATCTCGTAAACGAATTGAAGGCGAAGACGTTTGTACAGTGATTTATCGAATGTCTTAACATTTCCAGCCCCACTAAATTATTCACTAAAGATTTGTATGATATCTCAGACAGAAGCATCAGTTTTTTTTATATCACAATTATTATTATTTATCTATAAATATTTGATGCCGTGCAAGGAAGGGCAGGTGCATCGTACTAAAATCATTGTACTATCGTCGTACGGCGCTTAACTGAAGGCAATTTTGGGATGTGGGGTCGTGTGGCGTAGCGACAGAGTGCTCGACTCGGAACCAAGAGGTCCCGGGTTCGAGTCCTGACATGCCACCTATCTTGTGCCCTTGGGAAAGGCACTTTACACGACTTTCCTCACTTAACTCAAGTGAAAATGAGTATTGTCCTGTCCTGTATTTGTACTCTGTGTTAGTGGCGGCATAAAATAAGTTGATGTAACTTGAGTGTGCCGTCACCACGTTCGGTCATGAAATGTTGGAATAAAAAATCTTGGGATAGTCCTGATAAGCGTGTCAAACAAAATGCGTCCATTTTCTTTGTATGGGAAATATTGTCTCACATCTCCGTAGATGGTTGTTTCAGTTTTCGCCTGCTTGAAAATTGACTTACGAAGAATACGTCCGCATCGTAACTGTATATGTAATATGGCACTACTAGCCTTTTTGTCTGTTAGGTCTTTGTTGGAATACAATCTATGGTAGAAAAGGGGGTATTGTCTATCGAAACGGTTGCAGACGAAATAATTGCAGACGTTAAGCTAGGTTACAGTTACCCGGTACTGCAATGAACTATATTGCCGAGTTCAACATAAAAAGAAATATTTTAAAGACTATGCTATGTACCCTGTATGGAAAAAAATAGGGGATAGTCCAATTGTTTACTTGGGCCCTTGGCTCCATGCGGAGTATAGTTTACCGATGACCATCCACTGGACAACGACTGGACTGGACAATTTGTACTTTTTGTTATTATCATACTTTATTAATGTTATTGGTTAGTTACTGTCTTTTCTTTTACTATTTGTATGTGACTGTTTTGTTTTGTTGTGTTGTACTGTGCTGTGTTGTGTTGTGTTGTGTTGTGTTGTGTTGTGTAAAACAGGGCCCCATTGAAAAGAAGTGCAATCACTTAATGGTAATAATGAAAATGACGGAAAATAAAATATCCAGTATTCATAGTGAGACTAAGAGGAGTCTAATATTGACTAGAAATGCAGTAACACAGCAGAGTCCTACTTTATTGAAAACATAGAAGATTATGAAACAGGTGAAATTACAGCAATAAAGTTACGCCTTTATCACTTAATGGCACCAGGGCATAGGTTAACGACCTAGAATAATGCACGGGTCAGCGTACTTTATAGCAATCTTCAGTCGCTCTGCTGGACAGTTGTGGACTTAGGTGTAGACTTTGTATTGTCGGCACATGACTTAAGAAAGTATTTCTTATCTACGTTATGTAACGTTTGTATGCGATTCCAATATTAATGCTATACTTCCTTTAAGTTTTTTTTTTCATATTTAGTCCTAGTCAGGTTTTCTGTCAATAGTTTTATTTGGTGAGGTAATCTTGTTGTTAGGGTAGTTGACACTAAATTCTGTTTCTGTATTCGAATCCTAGAGTTTTGTCTATGGTATTGTAACTAAGAAAACTGTGGAAGCAGCATGTGTTTTTTCCAAAAGATTAAATGATATTCTCGAGATTAGACAATATTCTACAACTTAATTAAAAAAACGATTTAAAAAATGTTAATGCTGCTTTACATTCAAAATATATTCAGTACAATGCCAACAGCTTATTATGTAATACTCGTACCAATCTGACCTTGTTACACTTACTGGATATACAATACTGGTGACCTACATGGCTCGCACGTGGGGGACTAATGTAGCAAATTGTGTACGTTCAAAGATCGGCTGCTTAGCCAATATTTACAGTGTTGTGTACCATTTCTCTCTAAAATTAGGTCGTCGCCATGTAGACTTTATTATTTATAGATTGCACTATCATATTAATAATTGTTTACGTAAAATATCTCTAAGTACACTCATCAGTAGGACTGGTGTGTATTTCATCTCCAAACTGGTCTTTCCGTGGTCTTTTGAGTCACTATCCACCATCTTCATCTGATAGTTTAGTTTTGTAGTATTGTTGTATTTCTGCCACACATTGAAACATGTACGATTGTCGAGCAATAAAGTTCATTCATTCATTCATTCACTCATTCATTCTAATAATGCTTTCTTGCCGAAAAGTTATAATTTTACCAGCAAAAGTAATGATTGATTTCTCTATTTATAGTTATATATTGTTAGCCGAGCTAAGATGAAACGAAATTAAAAAATTGTCTAAGAAAACAATCGTTTCTACATTTTTGATAGTATTTAATTTTTTGTTGTTGTTTTTTTTTAGTTTTTTGTTTTTGTTTCATAAAGCATGGGTCTAGTCGAAGCTATCTACCCCGCCCTCGGGACCGTAGACTACAAACAGCCGCTAACCAAGCTGGTCTTCATCGGCGGTTCTCTGCTGTTCTTCACCGCCGTGTTTGTGGTCTGTGCCCTGGGGAGCTACGGGATAAAAACCTACAGGAACTTACGATCACGAGAAAAGGTTTGCTTGTCAAGAAACACTTGTTACTTTTAAAGTCTGTGGCTGACATGTTTTTAGCTGTAAAAAAGTTTGATGACGTTTTAAAAAAAGTTTAATCTCGGACGGAAGTACTGTTTTTGGGTGGCGATAAGTTATGCTAGGATTTTTTATGTTTGATACAGAGTGGGTATTATTTGGTTGATTTTGACCAGTTATGCCCTGCTTTTAAAAATGGCAATGGCTAAAATATTAATCATGATGCTGTAATAGTGGAGTAAGTTTCGCCACGCAACCCTGTGATGATAATGTATTCTATGATGTAATTGACTCAAATCATATCTACTTCTCGGAAGTTTAAATTCTCTGATTTCTTGGCTTCAACTAAATCTTCAATATGTTATTAAATATCTGTTCTAGGTGTTTTGGAATTTGGCAGTTGTCCGTGCTCTGTATGGAGTCTTCTGTACGGTGATGGGGAGTTGGGCAATCTTTTGGGACGAGGTAAGAAAGTGTTCACGCCATCTTGAAATTATTACTTTGAAGAAAACAAAAATATAGTGTCCGTGAATAATTTCATCAGGTTAGTTTGTGATTGAATGGCAACATTTTCATTCACAACAACTTTTTTTACCTCTAGGGACGACGTTTCCATGACTCTATGTCATCTTCACCATAACAGTAGCACCTAGCTTCAGTCCATGATGGACCAGTAACATCTAGCTTCAGTCAAGGGCATTGTACAGGGAACAAGTAACACCGTAACACAGAAAACCAATCGTTACGTGCAGCCCTGATGAAGATTACAGATGGTCATAAAAACGTCGGTTTTGATGTTAAAAGCGGTTGTAAATAATGACATTTTTATTCAAAAGCATACGTCTGATGTATTAACTTTTTCCTTGCGTTAGGTTGCGGTCCAAGATGTCGTCCATGCTACCACACCGACAGGTTTCGTCACAATCTACGTCACAGTCGGCTTCTTTCTCTTCGAGACTCTGGCCTCCACGACCTCTGACCTCATGTTCGGAAAGTTCAACCCTCTTCTCAACGCCCACCATCTTGTTTCACTGCTAGGTCATAGCCTTGTTGCCTACTACGGCTGTTTTCACTATCTTGGCGTTGGTGGTTTGATTCTCGAAATGAGTACGCCATTTTCGGCATTGTGTTGGGTGCTGCTAAAAACCGGGTTGGCCGAATCCATGCTCTGGAAAATCAACCAGATGATTCTAGTTCACACCTTCCACCTGCGTTCTGTAGTAGAGTGCTTCTTGTGGTATCAGACATACAAACACTGGGGCAAAATGTGGCACGAAACGCCCTTCCCCCTCCTATCAGTATTCTTAGGGGGTCTGTTCATGTTTTCGTTTGTGATGACGCCATATTGGTGTTACAAAAAGACGGCCCAACTCTTTAATCCTATTGATTGGAATTTCAGTGACAGTCGAAAGCATGGACAGACCAACGGATACGCTGTGAATGTTACAAATGGCAATGTCCGCTCCAAAAAGAGCATGTGAGATATGTTAGCAATGACCTACCCTAAAAACATAGGATTGGCCACCAATTAACTGAAATAAATTTGAAAGAATCGGACTGTAGAGAGATTTTTTAAGAGAGGCAATTTTTGTCGCAAACATAATTTGTCCGTGATTATCAACATGATTTGCAATACTTTCATGTTTAGATTACCCTTCTACTAATTATAATTTGTTCTTTTGTCAGTTGCTTTTTTCACAGTTTTTTTACTATTTGTTATGTCATAAATATTACTCAAATCGGAAAGCTAGCCTCTTCTTATTGCGTCAAGAGATGCAAGTTAAACACATGATTGAATTTTTGACAAATTCTTTGCAAACTTTGCAAAAAAATATAAACACATAGTTGTATATTAATTAGTTGAATAAATATATCTACGTGCATTGCAATCTATAAATTTAATGGTTTATAAAATGTTGCAACCTTAAAAAAACATTGACTTAAAAAGATTTAATCTAATATTTTTATCATATGGTTTTAACAAAAATTAACGTTTAAAGCTTTTGGGATTACCTGGTCTTTCATAATTATAAGATATTGCAAACATAATAATTTTCAAATATCTCTACACATATGTATATAGGACGCATGTTTCAAAATGAGACAATAAGTTGGTATAAAGTAGTTGAAAACAGTTAATAATTTTGAAGAATTCTTTTGAATTCATGATCATCACTATTTGGCTAGCTGGGTACGAAAATCAGTACCTCGTAATGAAGGGAATTTATTGGGGGTATCTAGTAGTTACAATCTATCTAGTAGTTGCTTCGGTTGCACTAGCATACTTACGTTCCACCTTTACTGTTATAAATATTATAATGAACGGATGAACATCTCAGCATATGCTATTATTATACTACATCCTACTACCCGCATTTATACCTATTATACGGTTATAAACATTGTGTCAGTTTCTAGCGATGTCAGTTTCAATTAAGAATGTACGTTGAATAAAAACGTTTTCGAAACGTGTTCCTTGTTGTCAAGTATCCTATAGATACATTTGACGTTGTCCTATTATAGTTTTCAGAAACTACCTCTCAAGCACTGATGCTTAGCAAAGATCTGTCATTTATATTACATGTGATTCTCAATAATTACATTAAATATTATATAAGAATATACTTTTGAGTTATATACTTCTTGTGTATTTGTCTGTACTTATTCATGTATGAATGTGCGCGTGTCTGTGAGTGTGTATCAGTTGTAGCTGGTGTGTTACGCCAAAGTGCGGTTATACCGGCTATACAGATACAGATGTGAGGAAACATTACGAACACCAGCAAGCAGCCAACCATGCCCAAACCTTCCGTCAACAACTGAATGTTTAAACCTTTTTGAAACACCTACCCACCTACCAAATATCATCCATCTTGCATTAAGTTGTTGACAGATAGACAGACACACACACACACACACACACACACACACACACACACACACACATACAGTCACATACTTTACTTACTATACTTTTTTTATTTATGACAACTTGCTTGAATTACGTAGTAGTAAGTGATGCAAATTTCATACTTGTGGCAATGGGACGTTAGGTAATTCTTTCATGACATTGCTGGAGGTCAAAGTTCAGTCTCTTAAAAAAACACTGCGGAACAAAGTTCGCTCCACCTGATATACGCAGCAGAATTTGTTACTAACGTGCTACTCTGGAATTCTCAGTTATTGTGCCATAGCATAGACACGCTCTCAGACGCCGGCATGGGTTTTGTCAAGTCTCTACCCCGGCCTGTGGCTGCCTTGTACCCCTCCGTGCTACTGAGCCTGGTGCTAGGTTACTGGGTGTCCCTTACACCTGCTGTAGACAGCTATCTCCGTCAGAACGTTCAGCCAATTCTTCAGGTACATACTACATTATGCTTAACCTTCTATTTCGATTACCCATTCTGTGCATTCTTATACTTGTTGTTATTGATTATGTAAATTTTGATGTTGTATATGTGTTTTTGTATGGGGGAGGGCAACTTGTAAAGGTGCGTATGTACCTGTTTTGCCCTCCTTTTCACTTAAAATAAAATAAACAAATAAACAAATAGATCATATCATGTGTACGACAGTAAATCGCTACTGTGTCCAATTGTATTCGTAAGCCTAAAAAGAATAGAGACATAAAAGTACTAGGTTGTTATATGAATCGAATGTTTGCTGTTTTAGGGTCTGTACAACATAACTGACTTGTTAAACTCAATCCATTTTTCCCTGTATACATAGTATGAATATAGCTTCTTAAATCTTTGGAGGAAAAAAACAGAGGTAAGAATGCTATTTACAGGCATCAGAAGTCTGTGTACATGATATACCCGCCCTGTTGCATTCCAAAACGTGTTTCATTCCAAATCATAATTTGGAATAAAACGAAGTGGATGCAACTGCATTCCAAAACGTAGTCCATTCCAAAACATGATTTGGAATAACACGAAGCAGAATGCCTGTTGTGTTGCATTCCAAAACGTGGTCTATTCCAAAACATAATTTGGAATAACATGTTTTGGAATGCAACACCCCCCTCCCATCACAACGTGACGTGACCTATTGTTTTTGTTCGCAACAGGATACGTCAGTATGGAGGTCATCAGGTCGCTTCCTTCAGACACAGTGGGAGTGGGTGTACGAATCCTTCCGCGATGAGTACCAACTCGCCACTGTCGGTATGTATCAAACGGTGTCGTCAAATCTATGTCGGGTCGAAGTACATTTGACTAAGTATTATTTGTTTGTTTGTTTGTTTGTTTGTTTGTTTGTTTAAGGAATCTTCAATTACTGACATATAACACACCACCACTCTTCCTTGTAGTCCTCTTATGACACACATTATAAAAATACAAACATCATATACGTACTGTTTATTATCAGTATTTTTAAGTATCCATCAGATTCTGATGATAATTAGTGAACGTTTGTAAATGTCCTTTATAATAGGAACAACTCTTGTCATCATTGTGTGCATGTTGATGATGACGTCACTGTACACGTACATGGACCTGACGGGCCGCCCTGCTGTACTCGTCCGGTACAAGATCCAGCCCAACGTCAACCCGCCACCTGTGAGTCACTGATTAGGACTGTAACCATATTAATGGTTAAACCAATCAGAACATGGCCATGCGCTGTTAAACCAATGAGAGAATAGCTGCATGTCCGTCATATCTTTGTATTTGTGTGTTTTCATGAATGTCTACCATGTGACGGGGGTGGACTATGGGACTATGGGACTAAAGGATCGGTCTATTACAATGAATTCTCTAATATATTTTTGGCAACGCCGTAGGAACGGATGCATTTATCTAAGTGTCGTACGCAATCTTCTGTCACCGATCACATCATTCAATGAGTCCTCTCAATAAGAAGTATAGTAACAAGGGTACTTTGAGAAAGGTGAGAGGGCAGGCCTAGTAAAATACTAGATGCCAAATGCAGATCCAGTCTTTCCATGTTGTAATCACCGTTGATGGGCAAAGTCAAAGGACGACAATTTTGAATCACCTAGAATGGTTTATAGAGCGTCTTCGAGTGACGTGTCCACCGCCATCTTGGTGTCCCTATTTGCATTTAGTGACATTTTAATAATGCCTTCTCGAAAACCCGGTATGGAAGAAAATACCTAAAAGATAACTAAATACCTGTCGATCAAGCACAAGTACATTGTAATGCTGAAATTTACTCTATGATTGAGCTAAGATTTCTTGACATGCAAATAGGAACACCAGTATGGCAGTCAGCCTCTTCCCGCTTCAACGATATGGCAAGTAAAACTTTCTATAACATTTCACGTATTCCAGGTTGACCCTGCATTGTTCGCAAAGGTTGGACTACAGCTGATTCCCAACACACTCCTGACGATAGCGATAATCTACCTCCTCCAACCTGTGATGGTATGGCGTGGTATGGAGTTCAGCAAGAAACTCCCGTCTCTATGGCGCCTGTTACTAGATTTCCCTGTCTGCGTTCTTATGCAGGAGATAGGCTTCTACTATGCGCACCGGTATGGTTTTCTTTAAATTATACGCTTTGCATTATTCGTGTTCATCTGGGTACGGAGGTGCAGCTGCATTGTGTGTTTGCATCTTTTCAAGAGTATATTTTCGTTCAGTGCTGATATATATGGTTGAACTTTTAAACCAGAGTGAGAAATTCGTTTGCTCTTGACTATTTGTACAATTACGCCCAACAGTTGCTGTTAAGGCCTTTTAACTTGCCAAACTATTATACTTTTTACTAGTATCTGTTAATCTTGCAAATGTTGTATAGGTTTTTCTTTTTCGAGTGTTTGAAATGTGAGTATATCTTACTGAATTTGTTGTCATACGAGCATCACAACACATTCTGGCTGCTATGTTTGCGGCAGTGTTGAAATGAATTAAACCATTCATATGTTGCCAGCAAGTTGTTGAATGAGGGTGGGTTGATAGGCAGAAAGATTTCAGTGATACGCACTAGCCAAGTTGATCCATGCTCCTTACTGACTCCTTACTCAGACTGGTGCACGTCCCCTACTTGTACAAACGTATCCACAAGAAGCATCACGAGTTCACGGCGCCCATGAGTGTGGTGGCACCGTACTGCCATCCTTTCGAACACGTCACCAGTAATGTCATCCCGCTGTTCACCGGGCCCATTCTTTCCGGTAAGGTCCCATTTTCACTGAATGGTGACCAAGGAACTAACAAACTTAAATTTGTTTGACCTAAAACTTAATAGGGTTTTTGCTGTAAAACGGAAGGGAGGGTATTCTGAGTATTCCCCAGTAAGTCCGTCGCGACAGTTGCCATAGCAACAAACCTATCTGTCTGGCTGACCACCTCTGGGTGGTCCCTGCGCACGAGGCACCATTCATTCAGTCAGTCGGTCGCCAGCTACCCGTGAGGACCTAACGTGTTTGATCCTCCCTAGTTAAACTGACTGTCATTCCGTGAGTTTGGAAGCAAAAGGCCTTTTGCCCTGCAAAATATATAAACATTATTAAGTTAAATATTATAATGGATATGCAAGTTTAAAGAGCCTCTAATGGCTTCACTAGTTACATGCTAAAAGGATTGTGGGAAGTGGTTAATTATGCATAAACAGTGTCACGTGATTACATTTTGATTGTAAGATTTCCCATGATGCATATAGGGTGTCACGTGATCACCATGTGGCTGTGGTTGGCGTATTTGATTTACGAGACTACCACAGGCCATTCCGGATACCACCTGCCGTTTTCCAAGTCTCCGGAGTTTCACGATTTTCATCACGCAAAGTAAGCTGAAGACAAAAACGATTCTTTCTAATCTACGTAAAGTCCGTCATGTTTAACAACTGTTTTCTTTCAGCATTCTGTACGTATTTGTATTAATTTTGTAATATTTTTTCTCATAGAGAAGCAAACAAAATCATACCCTACATCTGATTTGAAATGCCCCCTTTTCCTCAAAAACAACTTTCAATTTGTTTATCTTACGTTGTGGGGGAGGGGGGTCCTTGCCTCTGTCTAGCCCACCCAGACTTTCAACGTATAAATTGTAGTTTATTCTCTATATCGTTTTCCTTATTCATTGAATTTTTTTTTTCTTTCTATTTCTGGGAAGCAAAAAATACTTCAACCTTAAGTGCTAATTTTACTTTTTAATCTTCTTCAAACAAGCAATTTTCAGTTTTTGGTCTTTAAGCACTGCACTTTGATTGACTAAAATTCGAATTTGTTGCAGATTTAATTATAACTACGGCACAATCGGTTTGCTGGACTGGCTGCATGGCACCGACTCTGCCTTCCGGCACAGCACCGCCTGGAAGCGTCACCGCATCCTGTTTGGTATTACTCCGCTCTCCGCATCTATCCCGGACATCAAGAAGGAATGAATTGAAAGAGACATAGTGATGTTATTGAACAACAAAAACGTCCATAAAAGTCAACAGAAAGTTAATGGTATTTTGAGCTAGCAAAAACATCAAAACTATGCGATACATTCGAGACAAAATATACGACACAAAAACCACGAATAAAAAATAAAGCAGACAGAAAAACTGTAATGACTGTCAACTTGTCTGCTCCTGCTCCTACAACTAAAATACAATACAACCATATCTAATGGATTTAAACTCAATCCTATTATTTCCCTGATTTTAGATCATGAAAATTTCGACCAATCTAACGAGAAATCACAAATTGTTGATGTAACTAATATATACAGTTTTGTACATCGAACCTGGTCACAGCGGAAACCCGACAACTTCCTCGGCAGTTCTCGGTAGTTTCCGCCCATGGACTTCCGGTCTCCCAGAATGCAACTTAATGTTTCAAAAAATAAAGCCTCTCCACTCACCATTGAAATTTAACAGATCAGACTTGCATTAGCTTACGGTGTGTGTGTTATTAAAAATTCTGACATTGTTTCCTTTGTTTTGATAATCGACTTAAGAGTGAAAGAAGTTGAACCCAGCCTGTTTTCTTTATGCTTGGTAATTACATTAAAACAGGTGCTGACTAAGACGTTAAAAAAACCTCTAATTGCTCCATATTCAACTTACACGTAACTTACTGGTCACGCCGCCCCTGTGCTTGCGTATATTATACTACTGTTTGCTGTTGGCAAGGCTTTTCAAAGCGATCATGTTGCAACCCCATGCAGGCATCTGATCAGGCAACGACGTCATACTGGCTGTGGTTGGTTGGTTCTGGTGTGACGTCACGGTCACTCTACACCGCCATGGCAAATGAAAACAACCCAGACAAAGGGTGTTTGTTTCTTTCCCGCGTCAACCGCTACCCACAGCCGCAGAACGAGCTTGGTTAAACTTGGGAACTGCGTAACAAGGAACTATCTCCTTTTTTCATCATAAAGCGTCATTTTGCTGATGTTTTCTGATCGAATCTTCGTGTCAAAACTTGCCACATTCCAACATATTCCACCTGTTGTCACTGGTACTCCCCACAACAACGAGTAAGTATGACTTTGATTTCTCAAAATAGCCTCCTTTTCAGGCGTTCCCGGATCGGTCGTTTTTTTTTTGGGGGGGGGTATTCTATGATCAAACGTAGATCGCACGCAAAAGAAGCTCCGGCTGGCAACCCTAGAAAACACCCCCCTCAACAAAACGACCGATCCGGGAACGCCTGAAAAGGGGTGTACTCTCAAAACACCAAATATGATCTGTGAAACATTGCCTCTTGTGTGGCTTCCTACGTACAGTATTGCTGTGTACCCTCTAGTGCACTATTTGAGATTTTGTGTCCAACTGATATCGTTACTTTGGTTTGTCTTTTGCCATAATTAAAAGGGTGAAGATACGAAGATTTAATCTCTTAACCCTAAACAGTACACCTGGGGTCCGCGCGGACCCCAGCACTATATATTCTGTAGTATCTTTTTTGTTTCTAAAGATTTTTTTCTGAAATTTTAGGTAATTGTCACCCACAAAGTTGTCTCTCAATACAGTGCAGAAAACTCCGTTTCTACCATTTATAAAAAAAATTATATCTGATTTTCTTTTGCGGTCCGCGCGGACCCCAGCCGGCTTTCGATCATAATGGATACATTGGCGGTCTTATACATTACCTTATTTCCGTTTTTATATGTTTTTATGCACTCATCTTATGTCTACCAAGTTTTCAGAGAATGGTGTAGTAATAGAATTAAATTTTAATAACTTTGGTGTAATTATGACGTCATATGACGTCAGAGCTAATAATATAGTTCACCATATTGGATTTTGACCAATGACGTCATCAAATTAGCATATTCTATGCATATTAAATTATTTAACTTATATTTAATTATGTAAGATGTTATTAATGTTGGAAAAGAAGTGTAATTTAATATAAAACTCAAAAAAATTTTATGTTTAAACCAAAATCACTTCTATTTTGAAAAATAGAAACCTGTTGCCATGGCAACACAAAAAAATATCAACTTACTAGTATCAAACTAATATGAACTTTTTTCCAGAGACATTTTAGGAAAGGTCTCCAAATTTGATACTTCTAGCGCAAGCCGTTTAGCCGCTATCTGAGATCAAAGTTGGGCCTCAAAAGCCCCTTCAGTCTGAAATGGGTTTAAAAATCGGGTATTTCTTCTTGTCTTCTTTTCTTCACCAAAAAATAGAAAAAGTTCAAAATGTATGATATTTGTTTGTAATGTGGACACAGAGGTTCCCACATCAGTTTGCAAAACAATTGAGCTGGTAGCATGTTGATAATTTCTAAAAATTAGCAAAAAACTGCTCTGGGGTCCGCGCGGACCCCAGGTGTACAGATTAATCAGTCCGGGAAGGTGTACTGTTGAGGGTTAAACTCGTAATTTGATAACAGGTAATAGCATTTTCAACGTAGGGGCAACGGGTTGTTCATTGTGTATTAACGGTCACAACCTATTACACTCCTTTCGCTGCCTTTTACCTCCCCAAACGAAGTCAGGTAACAATTTAACACCTGTGTGGAATAAGTAAGGCCGTGTAAAGTGCCGTTAACAAGTGAGAGCACAATGTCTAGGTAGAAGCCGGTGTCACAGCGATCTTGCAACACTTTGCCGATTTCACCCCCCCCCCAAAAAAAATAATAATAATCAGTTACCTCGCCCACCCCCACCCCCAAAATAAAATCGGCCAGTGTTTCCTAAAAAAATTACGTTTTAGCATGTCCAGGTATACAAATTTGTTAAATAATTCCAATCATTTCGTTGTATTAAGGTAATTATGCTGTGTGTATACACACAATTATTTTAGCATTTTTACCAATGAAACTTACATGTAAAGCATATATCAGCTCAAATCCTGTGTTGTTGAGATGTTGAGTATAGGAAAGTTAACAGGCAATACTTCATTCAAGGAGGTTACTTTCTTGCTTCAACCCGTAATAATATCGTTAGAATTGTTAATCAAATGTGTGTACCTGCCATACCTGTAGTACGGTGTAAAAGAGTAACCTAACTAAGGGGCGGGAGGGGGGCTAGATCTCTGGAGGGTAGGGGGAGGGGGCGGTGCATGGTTTGCTAGGAATCTCACCCTCGGAATGGTAAAATCGCTGGTGTCGAGATCGCTGTCACATGGGGACTCGAACCCAGGACATCTTGATCTCAGTTAGCCTTGTCACTCGACCATTCGACGCCGCTATTTGGTACGAAGAGACTCTTACATCGTGTATTGATTTGATTTGATTTGATTTGATTTGATTTGATTTGATTTGATTTTGTGTATTAGACTGTATAAGACACACATATATATACAGTCAGGACTGTACAACTAGCCGGGGGCTATTACAAAGGGCTAGCCTTCACAACAAGAACATAAACAATTCGGAACAGGTAACAGTCAACAGTGTCGGTTACACTTCATACTATTACATAACATATTTTGCGGTCTAACGTTAACAAGCTATGGGATCCGACCTAGTCGTCATGCGTTTACTATAATTACATTGTGTACTATATTTACATGTCAGGTTAACATACTATTACATAACAAATGTTGCGTTCTAACGTTAACAGGCTATGAAATCTGGCCTAGACGTCACTATAATTACATCGTGCACTATATTTACATTGCCAATACAATTCTATAGAACTAGTACAGTTTTACTAAGTAGCTGTCGTCGAATATTTATCAAGTATTGTCCAGAGTTTGTTTTTAAAGGAGCTAACGGAGCGGGCTATTGACTTGTGGGAAAGCAAGATTTTTCAGTGTACAAATGGAGCATTTTATTCTGCAGTGTGCTATTCATTCTGACCTCCTAAAATTAGCAATTTTGTGACGAATAAAGAATTGAATTAAATCATCGCAGCAACCAAAGAAAACAACGAAACATTAAATATGTTATGGGGGGTTAAATCAATCCTATTTGGCTTCAAGATGTTAAACAAAAACATTTTATTTTTATAAAACAGGACAGGCCACTGTACTGAATTTTACAATTGGAAGGATAAAAAAAGGATAAGGTAGTGTATATAGTGTGCAACGGACAATTAGAAAATGATTTCTCCAAAAAATATATGCATTTATAAAACGGTTCTCGTGGTGTTCCTATCTTAAACGCTAATCTTAACAGCATATTCATTTAAAATCTAACTCCTATGTCTCGTTTATTCCATTCAGAATAACATAAGCATCCTGATCTGTAGTGTTCGTGAAACCGGAGAGGTCTTCCCCCAGCAAAGTCCAAAATTGTAAGAAATCCTAGATAGACTACAAACCATACCAGGCAACATACCAGGGCGAAAGGTAAGTTAAAAACTATTTAGGAACAGTGTGCTGTATTATAGTAAGTACAATGAACAGACGCCCCCGACATCAGTTTTTTTTATATACTTGTAATAGTTATGCACTCTACAGGCATGGCACAACCTGCTTCATGAAATTATAATATATGGTCGAATTTTCAGTCTGTCGAGTCAGAAGGCAAAAATACATTAATGGAGGTCTGGGGACATGCTCCCCTGGAAAAATTTGAAAACTAATCTTTAACATATTTTTTGCATATTGAAGTTTTGCTGGCACATGAACTTAACTTTACCGTCATGAATTTTAGTGAAAAAATACGCGAGATTTTTTGCCTAGTATTTTGGGGATTTGTAAATTAGTTTTGAATGTCAGGTGCTTGTTGGGTGTCTAATGCAATTTGTTGATTTCATATCATAATCTTAATAATATTCATTTATCTTTTGGAGTAAGAAACAGATTGCCACATTAATGTTGATACACATGTAGTGCCGATGTGCGCCCGACCGCTCGATCAACGTAAATTTTGGCCTCCTTTGTGGTTCAAAACAGACAACTTCGTCCCTTTTGGCGGCCTGATGTCTTGATACAAGAAATTTTCGGTGATTTTTTTGGTTGAAAATGTGTTGCAATTTGACAATTTTTTTTCAATTAGCCGACATTGGCTTTTCAAATAAGAGGCGCGATAAACAATGGCGCCAATGGAAAACGGTTTGGGTTTTCACAATTCTTTTCAATTAGCAGAATTTTTCTGATAAGCGTTTTGCAATTAACTGGTTTCCACTGTATCTATTGTTCCATACAGGGAAAAGACAAAGAAAATGAGTCGCTGTGCAGCCATCCTAGCGGTCTGCATGTCACTGGTAAGACTGGCTACAGCTTGGGTAGCCTGTTCCTCACCAGGAGTCTGCAGATGCGCTTCAGATGCATTTGGTATATACGTTGATTGTAATAGCAGAAGCCTAACTGAAGTCCCTAGTAACATCCGAGATCTTACAATTGAGCTATGGCTTCGGCATAATCAGATAACTATAATAACACCACAGCCATTTGTTGGTCTGCAGAATCTCCATCGGTTGTATCTTAATAATAACACCATAAGTGTTGTAGAACCGGGCAGTTTCCAACATATGCACTACCTTGTAGAACTCAACCTTGCACATAACAAACTGGCTAGCTTGCCCATAGGCACCTTTTCAACTTTGCACAGACTTGAAATTCTAGACCTGTCTAAAAACAACATTGTAACTTTGGATCATGACATATTCAATGGTTTAAACCGACTCTCAAATCTTGATGTTTCCTACAACTCAGTGACTGCGATTCCCTCTTCTGTTGCTACCTTGAGAAGACTAGAATACTTCAAAATGCAACATAACTAAATAACTGATATTCAGCCAGGTTTGTTTTTGAATGGCGCTTCGTTTAGTGATTTGGACCTATCATATAACAACATCACCATGATTCAAGACGGAACATTTTCGAACATGACTATTAGTAGTGGTTTTAAACTTAATCTAGAAGGGAATCCCATAAAACAGTTGGGCAAGTACAGCTTCTCCAACATTATTTCTAGCAGCCTTTCCTTGTATACATTTCAAATGAATTTTAAGAGTATGCAACTGGAGAAGATCCATGAACTGGCATTTCACAATGTGGATGATCGTCGATTTACTTGCCACACATGCGAATTCATCTTTAATGATAATCTCTTAGAAACTATTCCATCAAATCTGTGTGATCTATCTGAGAGATACGATGGATTTCAGGTTTATTTGTATCTGGATAACAACCCGTGGTCCTGTGACTGCCGCATGAGAGAAGTCTTTAAATGTTCGGGATTAATACGCCACTTAAGTGACTTTACTTGCCGATATCCACCTGCCCTGAATAACAGAATGCTGCTCAGCGTCACAGACGAACTGGTCTGCTTCAGTCCCGCCATTGACTACATCAGTTCCACAGTGTACCAGGCTGCAGTAGGAGAAACTGTGATCTTGTACTGTAATGCTACAGGCTTCAACCGTCCTACACTCACGTGGCATCCCGGTGAAACGCCATCAGACAGACAACATCACGAAGTTAGCACAGCAAACTTGGACTACAACAGTACAGAATCTACCCTCACCATCACCAATGTACAGATGAGTGACCAGGGAAGCTACACATGCCAAGCATCAAATGCGGCTGGGGTGGATTCAAGGTCTTTGTCTTTAACTGTCATTCAAGGAACTTCCCGTGTTGCTGCAGCAATAGGTGGAACTGTCGGAGCTGTCGTTCTATGCATCATTCTTGGTCTAATCTACATGTACTTCATGCATAAAATTAAACGAAGACAGAATAAGAACAACGCTTCGAATCGCCCTTCAACACAAACAACACAGCAAAGTACAATGCGTTTTAACCCTGAATTTGAAGAAGATGAGACAGAATACGATGATGTCCGCATTGCTGAGCCGAGAGGACCGGCGACGATTGAGATACACCACGGAAGACCCGTTATTGGAAGTGCCGAAAATCAGGTGACCACTGCAGTTCAAGGTGCAGCATCTGCAGAAGGCGCTGGCCATCTGTACCAGGGGTTGGTTCATGAGAATCCAGATCATGTCTACACGTCACTCCAGGACGGAGCAAACGCTTCCGGAGGCCGTGATGAAAGGGCCGTTGGAGACGGGGGAAGAAGTGGCCAAGAAGAAAGACTACAACACGGGCCCCAGGCACAAGCAGGCCAGACCGCTGAAGGGACTGGAGGAGGTGCCACTGGTCATGTGTACCAGAGCCTTCGTCAGGAGACCCCTGACCATGTATACACGTCACTGCGGGGTGAAGAAGCGACCCCTGGTGACGCGAACGGAAGGCAGGACATAGCCAATGCTGACCACGGGTATCAAAATCCAGGAGACATAACAGCGGAACTCCCGGCTGAAGAACCGCATGAAGAACCGATCGCGAGTCCTCAGTATTATAACATTCCTGGTGATGACTATCATGACTACCTATCACTTAGGGATGATTAAACTACATTGAGGGAGGGGGGGGGTCCTAAATGATGGAAAAAGGAGAGGGTACGTGGGATCAAAACATGGAATGTTGAAGTGGTCCCAGACAGGCTAGGAAATGCAAATTAGGATTTTTTTTAAATTTTTATTTGCACAAAAGTCAAGTGCATAAAATACAAAACAATACAGAAAGTAAAAATAATAATCGGACGAAAACGGAATATTGCATAATTAACCTAAACAGAACCAAAACAGTTAAAAACATAATAATAATAATAATGACAATAACAATAATAATAAGGGATTAATGAATTCTGTGATGGAATCTTAATACAATTCAGTAAGAACAAAATTCTAAAACCTCAGAATCGTCTTATTCCTTCTGCATGAGCTAACACCTTGCTTTTGCTAATTCAGGCTACAAGATCAGACTTAAACACTGCACTTCTTGTAACATACATAAGTTTCTGAGTCTTCATTAGTTCTTAGAACAAGAATCTAGAGATTTGTTTCCATCCCACGAAGTGGAATAGTTTGCTTTAATGAATGACAGCGAATTTCGTGTGAATTCGAGCCTAAAATGGGTAAAATACGATATAATGTGATGTTGTGTGATTTTGGTGAAAAATATATGAAGGAATAAAATGTGAAATTTTGAGAAAATGTGAATCAAGAAATTTGATTCGCGGCAAAAAAATGTGATGTTGGGAAACATGTTAATAACGTGTGTGAAAAATGTTAAAACATAAACTTGTGTTTTAAAAATGTAAAACTACAAATACGAACTTATGTAAAAATGTCATTGACGATACTAAACAAGTTCATGATTAAACTAAGTTCATGTTGTGATTAGTTCATGTCGTATATAAATACGCGAAATGTTATATCTGATTTATGCTGTCTAAGATATTGACTTATGTTTACCCTAACTCCTCTTTTTATTCTAGCATGAAATTTGTTTAATGTAGGAATATATTTGTATGTGGTGATTTGTCATAAATTGTAAGTTAGAGAAGATCTAAGATCTTGTGTAAAATTGTGTACATTTATCAATAAGATCTAAAACATATCTGAGGCCATTTAGTGATTAAATAGATAACAGGAAAAGTTGTGCTGTTTGTAACTTACATTCAAAATGCCAGGAAACGTTGGCCTACACAGAATTAAGACACGTATACATACATTTGTACACATATCGTTTGTTTGTTTGTTTGTTTGTTTGTATATGATTGCATATAATCAGAGAGAAGAACAATAAAATGAACATATTACAGTAAAAAAGGATATGCAGGGGAAAGATAAGAAGCCATAATGGCTTGTCCGTGATCTTCCCCTGACTAAATCAATTGACAACTGTAATAATGGTAAGAAATCAAATGATAATAATAAATAACAATAAGTAATTGAAAAATTCGATCAATATGATAACGGCAACAAATCAAATAGTAACAAGAAATAAGAAAAGTAATTGGTAAATAATGTTGATTAGAAATTGTATGTTAAAAATAAAATATAAGAATTATATGATATCTGACGGATTCAAACTCGTTCATCCTATTCTAAATCTCAGATTCTAAATTGCACCATGTGGAAATTTAGACTGATAACGAAAAATCATAGGTAAATGTACCAAATTGAAGTATGTACAATAACGTTGTTTATTCATGGCACAAAAGACAATGATCTGTGTTATTTTATATAACAATCTTCTACATAATGTCTCTTGTAATTTTTTATGGATTCATGATGTAAGTATTGAGTTTATAGAAGTGTATACTGTACTGAAACAAATAGAACGTACAAGAATGTGTTTATAAAACTTGTGAAAATACAACCAACACCCAAATAGATACTATAGTATAAATAACTACACTTGAAATTGAGTTAAAATGCTGTTCTTAGTTCATAAATGTTATGTATTGCATATTTTGTACATACATGTAGTTTCCCCAATATATTGCATATCATTGAATGACATGTTGTATTGAACGAGTTTATATCTATATTGAATTTTCATATATGTAGTCCATATTTGAATTAAGTTTGAATTGTGGCCAAGGTGAGAGGCTACAGTTTGTCATATTAATCATATTAATAAAATTTTTCTCATTAATAGAAGGGAGAGTAAATTGAATTGAATTTGTATAATCTCATTTCAGCTTGTGCGGACAACAGTAGGATACAAGACAAGTTACGGGTGGTGTATCCTGTCTTTCTCAATTTAGAAACTGAGATTGTCATCGTAAACAGATGAAACTGAATCTTGTTTGAAGTTAAAACTTTTGTTCCAATACAAAAAATTCTCTCACCTAGAGCTTTCGACCAGTCACTCTGGTCTTCCTCAGTAGACTGACCCAGTGAAGCTTGTCACGTGGCCTCTTTGAAAGCTTTTAAATTCAAACATGTAACTACCAACACAGATGAACTTTCATGATAGAAATTGAATCTTGTCCGGACTACAAAGTTTCTGGACCTTGAGTTTTCTTTAATACATACATTATTACATACACCTCCAGGTAAACAAAGCCCATTAATTCTTCAATCAATGAAAAGTTAGCAATAGGTCATGATTACCATAGATGACTTGAAAATGCATTTGACTAATTGCCCACTACTTGTACTATATATGGATATACTAAATGTACAAGTAATAGTTATATGGTCATCATCAATGGCGTCAAAACGCAGGTGACAGTCCCCACCTATTGCACTTTATATGAACATCATGATTATACCTTCCTTCCTCGATTAATTAAGAATCTTTACGCCATGGTAATATTATTATCGTAAATGACTTAATGCAAGTGACCTATGCCTACATGTACAACTCTTAAACCACATCCTGAATAGACACAATATATGACTTCTATGAAAAATGAGTAATATCTTTTATATGTCAGCTTTATATGTACATAGTATGTGATGTTAAAAAGATTTGAGAATTAATGCAAGAAAACTGCAGGACTGATATACACAATGCATGCAGTATTTCAATGCAATTTTTGCAGATTTGCTATGCTTTGCAGTGCTTTTAGTACATAATATATTTCAAGGAATTACCATAAGACCCATTTGCGCAGTGTTTCTTAATAATCAAGCACGGTAAAGTAAAGTAACTATTACAAAGTCACAAAATTGAATCCGGCTAATAATACTCTAACATACGTCGTGAAGTAGCGTGTAGACGTGTACATGTAGTCTCTCGAAGAGAAAGTTGTGATACAGATAACTCAGATAACTCATAGCTACACTCTGGTCTGCTGTCGCCCAAGGCCCTTCTTGTGGTCTGTGGTCGCGAATACCCTTGTATAATGTCCTTGGGCGGTCGTAGGTCAGAAAAGTCTTCATCTTTATCGTTTTCGAACGCAGAGTTAGGATGTTCTGTTCCTCGCCGTGGCTCTTCGGTTTCTGCCTCTTGGGATGATGAGAAGGTCTTGCGGAAACAGCCTTTAGCCTTCTTCAGTTTACACATCAGAGCAATAATGACGCATAAAAGAATTCCACCGAAAAAGGAACCGACGGCCACACCTATCAGGGTTGTCACTGTGTTCGGAGGGGGTGATTCTGGAATCATGAAAAAAGGAGAAACAAGACTGGCAATGAAAACATACATTGCCATGGCGACGGTGGTTGCTGTTAGGGTTATTGTTTGCATGACACTGCCATCATTTCATGATTTTAAGGAAGCCTTGGTACCCTCCCCTCCACTGAGTGTATAGTGAACGAGACCCGGGGTCACAGAAAGTAGGGCCAGACAGGTTTCCCAAGGGTTTCCAGGAATGTGGGCATGTCAATAAACAGAGCTGGGAGAAATGCCTGTGGACATTTCGTGCCTGTGGACAAAATTCCTGACTACGATTCCTAGAATTCTTGCAAACTGCACACAATACTGTGCCACTAGGCTCCTCCCTGAGACGTCGCCAAAACTCAAGTCATCAACAGCAGCACTTGGTGTCTGTCATGTGTAATGTAGCAGGTAAGTTATATGTACATGGGCAATAGGCGAGTTGGATTCAGCCTTGTTGAAGCCCAGCTTTGTTGTGCTGATCTCGTAATGTGACCTGTCTGTTGGTATGTTGTATGTGGTGCCAATGGCAATGTGAAAATAGGACGGTTAAAGCCTGTAGTATTATAGTACAAGGTCATAGTCTCTCCTACTTCAGCCTGGTGTACCATGAGACTGGTGTGGGTGATAGGTAATGGTTATTCAAGTGGTTGTCGGAAAACCAACACCTAATTTGCATAATCAATACCTAAATGCTATGATTTCTTGTTGGTAAATGATGGACATTTCATACTGACATGTGTAAGTTAGTTAAAGCTAACATCACTATGCATATATTATGTTAATGTAAAGGGCATTTGCATAATTGATATTAAATTGTGAAACAAAACCTTGCCAGTGGATTGATAGAACTTTCACATAAGAAATATATGCAATTTGAGTTGAAAAAAAAACAAATATGGCATAGATTATGCTACATGTAGTCATCAAATTTCCATGATCAAACTAAAATAAAAGGCTTAAATATTTCCACGTAGGCATGAGGTTAAATTTGCTTCAGAGAAAATGTTGACCTTTCTAACTTACCAGCTTCTTTATAATCCCCTGGTAGATCAGATATTGCTTGATTGCGTTTGCCTCCGAGCAGTATGGTTATTACGGGTGAAATCAGGTGGGATACGGTATACGAGATACATGTAGAGACAAGGAAGTGCCGGTGTCTTACCTTGTGTCGTTGTGGTAACTAGCAGCGGTTGAGGGGTCGCCGCCTCTGTGGAGAGTGTCAGCTTCTCAAGACAACGCTGGTGTATCAAGCAAAAACCTTCGTGAAATGTGCTACGTGGTTAATTTATGACACAGCAAGTAATTTTTATGGATGACATCAGCGCGTGCATTAATTTTCGGGCATAAGATGTCATGTTGCCATGCCGGAAGGTGGATGGCAGAAAACTATGAAGAGAGGAGACAAGAAAAGGCTCTGACTTAATGTTTTGTTTCTTACTTTGATGCAATAATATGTGATGCTGGCTGTGTATATGTGATGTTCCCACTGAATCAGAACCATTTGTACAATGATTGAGTCAAAATTTTATATTGTAAGAAACTTGTTTTTTTTCGGCCCGCCATTTTTTTTCCGCCCGCTCGCATTGGATTTGGTGTCTGCGGAGGATGTCATCCATAAAATTTACTTGCTGTGGCCTTATCAAGTAATACTGATTAGATCTTCCGATTAAATCTTCAGCAGAACTTCCGATTTTGATACCTCGTGTCCTGGACATACTAGGCTCACTGGGGTCCTGATTTTTAGGTGGCAGATAGCTCTTGACTTCGTCATAACATTGCCTAGGGTTGGGCCTATTAGCAGCTTGTTTGAACTTGCAGGGACACTCTGCGGTTGACAGAAGTACTGCACCTTGAGCTCACAGCACCCGGAAGTGAGTCTATAATCATGCTAACTAATAACTCAAGAAATAGTCGGTTTAACTCAAAATTTTTTTGCATACTTTTGCACAGTAATTCATAGATATCCTTTATGGTTAAAGGGACGTTAAGTCAGAATCAGGAGTTACTCTCCAGGAAGTTTCAAGTGGTAATCCCCAATTTAGTCTGAGAGAAAGGAAGCGAAAAGGGGGACCTATACCTGGGCTAGGAGACGAGTCTCTTGTAGCGCCTGTGTGAGGCTCTGTTCCAGTTGTGCTCTTCTGACTCTTTCCCCGGATAGTTCATCAGACAAATTGTCCGCCCTGGACAGCAGAGCCTCCACCTGTGACGACAGACGATCCACTTGATTTTTCAAGCGGCCTGTTTCCACCTTGGTCTAGGCGAGCTGCTGCTCTAGGACCGCAGCGCTGGTGGTTGTTTGGCCGGGCGGGGGGCAGCCCTCTGTAGGGTTCCCAGGCGGAACCACATAGGTGTAGGTACAGTAGTCCTTGTCTACATACTCCCGCAGGACAGATCCAGCCTGGTCGGTTCTGGTGTCCTGGGTTCGGGCAGGGAAGCTACTCGACAAAAGGAAGACAGCGAGCAGTAAGACACTCGCCATTTTGGAAAAACTTGACTTAACTGCGCGTCACACCTGAGCTGTTTTCAGGTATTAGTTTAGGAAGACAGCCTGATTCGGGGAAACCCCAGGCTTCGGTTGAACTCAAGTTGTTATGTTTTAACAAAAGAGTGGAATCTGTTCAAATGCTTGAAATCTTTGTAAACAAAACTTCTACCGGTTGAATGCAAACATGTTGACAATGTTATCTGAGATATTTTAGACTGCTGAAGACTGCTTACTACACTATTTACTTGTCGTGTCCTTAGTTTGGTCTATAACATACTGTGAACAATTATTAAGTGCGTTCTCTATCCACTGTAGTCGAAACTGTGACAATGTCGAATGTGGTGTTCTATTACGTACAGAGCTGAGGCACAAATTTGACCTTGACCTACCCGCATACCAAATTTCATCATCAAATATCATTTATAAAGGCCTTCTTAAGTTATGCTGATCACAAGTGTGTGGAAACACACACACACACACACAGACACACACACACACACATACATACATACAGACACACACACACACAGGCGCACACACACACAGATAGATACACAAACAAAACAGACACACACACACATAGAGACATACACACAGCAACAGACCAAAAACTATACCTACATGAATATACACGTAAACACAGTTTTCACTAAGGCGTAGGCTACTGTTTTCGTAAATACAGGTTTTATTATCATTACTTACATAAACAAAGTTTTGAATAATTATTCTATATCTAATTTTCTATTTATTGGTTGACAAAATGAGCAGTTCTTTACTCTCGAGCTCAATTACTCAACTGTGCTCATCCGTTCGTCAATTAATTTAAAGTTAGTAATATGTTACAATTACGTAAATGACATCAAAATGAAAGTGACTAAATGGCCTTGCACCATAGAGGCTGATGTCTGTGATATTTTTTTATTTTTTTTTTTAATATCTTTATTCAGAAAATCACATAAACAATACATTTTAACACTACAAATTTAAAACGCGAATTTACAGCAATACCTGGTTATATACATCGACTATACAGCAATAGGTGGTCATAAGACATACAGGAGATATTACATAACTTAAACTACATAATTACAGAACAGATGTGTACGGGTCAAAAGGAAATATCGATAGTCTGTATTTTACGGCATGGAACGTGGGGTTGATATTGTTAATGGCGGTGCAGAAAAGGTAATATTTTGCTTGTAAGATACAATTGTTCAATGTTTTATTGTTTTGGAGGGGGAGAAGTGACCATAAATAATTTCACTGTCGGAGAGAGCCGCGGGAAGCGTATGATCTTTTTTCCACCAGTCCATAAACTCTTTCCAGAGTCTTTGATATACATTGAAAGTTAAATGAAGACTGAATATCGAATATACGAATTACTTACAAACGCAGGTGACCAGGTTATTGCCTCTTGCACTATATTAGCAAATCCTGACTATACAAAATATTTTAGCTCTTTGACAAAATAAAATAATACATCAGTCAAATACATACATACTATATGCTGATAAAACGAAATCTTGCGATTATTGTAAAAGAAATCAGATACTATTTACTTGTACACAATCAGTCAAGCCAATGTTTTCACATTTGACATGTTTTGAAGTGCTATTGGTACATTACATATCCAATAGATTACCTTTAAAACCCATTCTCACATTCAGTGTTTCTTGATAATCAAAATTGTAACTTTGCACAATTCACAAGATTGTTCCTGACTCATATTCTAACAAATGCATTACTGTCTAATCTTAGATATTGTATAAACCTCATGGACATTGTCTTCATCGCATTACCTATTTTTACATTAATTGTGAATGCTGTCTCTTTTAGAAGTTATGTTTTCATTATCTTCCTAGTAGAGAGACACAAACGAAAGTTCCAGCACCTTCCGTTCTTAAATAACGTTGTTTTAACAGTTCAACTCCATCATGTATGTAAACATCAAGTTGATGAAATGCATGTGCCCTTTTGAATAGTATGGGTGTTCTCTCCACTTATACTGGTTTGTCTACACCACCAAAACAAGAATTGATATATTTTGCAACTTTACACACGTATCTTGTATTGAAAGCAAAATAATAAGCCAGTGAAGAAGACAAGAAAAGACCGAGTGGTAGACAAGTGAGGTTTCTACCTATTTCCCAGTCTGCCTAGACCGTGATTTCCAGTAATGTCCAAGATCGGTTGGTCCCTTTTTTGTTTCCCTTCAACATTTCAACAAACGTGCTCCCTTTTCAGTGACGTGTAGACGTGGTCTTGATTCCCTTGACGAAGGTCCTGATACAGATGACTCGTTCTTGCTCCAGCATCTGCACTCTGGTCTGCTGCGATCCCGGGTCCTTCCTGTTGTCTGTGGTTGCGAATAGCCGCTTCTGGTCTTCCATCTTGGCCGCCATCCGGTAATACTGGTTCTCTGGTTTGGTTCTGGCTAAAATGAAGCCTAAGCTCAGGAAGGTTGACGTCTTCATATTCTTCTTCATCTTCTTCAAAAGCAGGATTAGGGTGTGTTGTTCGTCGCTGTGCATTTGTCTCGTCAGGTTCTACCTCTTGGGATGACATTCGTTTACGAATGTACAGGATGAGGAAACTGATGGCAGCACATAAAAGTATACCACCAACGAAGGAACCTACGGCAGCCCCGATCAGGGTTATGGGGATGTGTGTAGAATCCTCAGTGTTACCAGAAACTGCAGTGTGAGATGAAAAGCTGTGCATTGTTCGTGTCCCTGTTTCTGAGGAGCTATGCATGGTTAGTGTCCCCGTTTCTGTTTGGGTTGGAACATTTGTAACTTCCTTGGTTGGAATCACAAAAAGATAGAAAGATCTCAAGTCATCACCGGCAGCGTTTGCTGCATGACAAATGTAATGCCCCTGGTTACTCATCTCTACACGTTTAATGATCAGGGTAGATTCTGCACTGTTGTAGTCCAGTTTTGTTGTGCTGACTTGGTAATGTGGCCTGTCTGTTGGTGCACTGCTAGGTTGAACCGGTGTCCATGACCATGTGAGTGTGGGGCGGTTGAGGCCTGTTGCATTACAGTACAGGGTCACAGTCTCTCCTACTGCAGCCTGGTACAATGTGGAGCTGGTGTGGGTGATATTAGGACTATGACACGTCAGGTTGTCTCGGCTGAGGGAGGCTAAACTTAAACCACTCAAGGCAGGTGGAGACTGGCAGATGATTCCGTTCAAGAGTGGACAGTTGAGAATTTCTCTCATGCGGCAGTCACAGGACCAGGGGTTGTTATTCAGATTGAAATGAACTTCTAGAGTAGCTCTATAGGGCGCATCACAAAGAATAGGTGGAAGCGTCTCCAGATGATTGTTATTAAAGTGGAAAGTGTACCTACAGCGAAAACATGTGATCCCTGCATGCATGAATGTGATGAAAAATGCCTCTTCATGGATCGTTTCCAGTTGCATTTCAGATAAATTGGTGTCAAAATGAGACCATAAAACTTCAATTGTTATTAAAACAATGTTCGAGAAACTGTACTTGTCCAACTGTTTTACTGGATTCCCCCTTAGGTTCAGTTTAAAATCATAATAAGCAGTTATGTTGGAGAATGTCCCTTCTTCTATAATGCTGATGTTGTTATATGATAGGTCCAAAACGTTCAAGGTGCGATTGGAGAACATACCTGGCTGAATAGCTGTTATCTTATTGTGTGCCATATAAACGCGGTCGAGACTTGTCAAATTGGCAACAGAAGAGGGAATGGCAGCCAACAAATTGTACGAAAGATAAAGGTTTCTGAGCCTGTTTAACCCAGAAAAGATGTCATGGTCAAGTGTTTTTATCTGGTTATTGGACACACGAAGGTTTGAGAGCTGATTCAGTCCAGCAAATACGTCACGGTCCATACTTGTTATCTGGTTATTAGACAAAGTAAGGGTTGAGAGCTGGTTCAACCCAACAAATGTGTCACGGTCCAAAGTTGTTATTTGGTTATTAGAAAGGTCTAGTACTCTAATGCTGTTTAATGTTGCAAACGTGGTACTGGGTAATATTGTCAGTTTGTTAGAATCGAGGCGAAGGGATGTAAGTTTCTGGAGGTGTTGGAAACTGCCTGGTTCTACCACACTTATGTTGTTATTATCAAGCCTCAACGTATCGAGATTCTGTAGGCCAACAAATGTCTGTGCACTTGGCAAGAGGATATTTATGTCATTGTTATTAAGAAAAAGACGTCTTAAACTGTGTAGGTGTTGAACTTTTCCATTTTCGATTGTAGTTATCTGATTGTATGAGAGTGATAGACCTGTTGTAGATGCTGGAATGTCATCAGGAACTAAAGATAGGTTTCTGCTGCTACAGCTAACCCATGTACCACTACAGCTGCAGACGCCTGGTCCCTCTGGGGAGGTGCAGGCCTGTAGAGCTGCAGTCAGTCTTACCAGGATCAGGCAGACGGTTAGGACAGCAGTACAGCTACTCATCTTCGGTATATTCTTCTTAATAAACACTTAAAGTTGATATTGGAATTCTCCATTATTTGACAGCAAATGCATTGTGACGGTAGTTTGAATCTCCTCTACTATATACTGTTATGTAAACATTTGACGCGTATTCGATACGACTTGGCAGAAAAAAACTGTATAGAACAATCAATTAGAAAATTTAGTTATTCCTTTTCCGTAAATAGTGACTTCTACTCTCCGTACTATGCCCCGTTTATTATATATTGTATTTATGACACAGACTATGTCAGCCCATTGGCTAGTATACATAGTACGCATACCTTGTGGTACTTTATAGAGCAGAATTATCCTTGATCAGCGAAATATTTGAAGAATCGCCACGTTTACGTGCAGTCTCTCGATTCCGTTTTTTAATCATTCTGCATGGGATATGGAAAAAAATAACAAACATTTTTCTGATGCCAATTTCGACTTGTTTTCATCAATGTGTAATGATACGGTCAATTGTCTACTTTTACCTGGGCAGCTGGCTTGACAGTAGACTACTACGGAGCGTTAGAAATTCACTTCTCAACATTTTGGCCTACATTAAAGCGTGCGTGAAGTTTCCGTTTTTCAGTCAATTGAAAAAAGGGAACCATACACATTTATTATACGGTATGCTAAAGTGTAGCTATAGAGTTTCATGCAGAGAAAAACAGGAAGACTGTTGGTTTCCTCCAAAATTTTACTGCGTCAATTTACACCTGCCGTAAATGGGTTTTAACTAAAATTTGTCGTTTACATTTTTGATATTGTTGTTACCTCCATGAAATGTGTCATGGAGGTTATATTTTCAGTTGCGTTTATCTGTCCGTCCGTCTGTCCGTCTGTCCGACTGTTGGTCAACAAGATAACTCAAGAACGCCTGGATGGATTGGTTTCATACTTGGTGTGTTGGTAGGGTGTGACGAAAACTGGAAATGATTAGATTTTGGGCCCCCTAGTGGCTTCCCTTGGTACTGCAGCGCAACTTCCGGTTTTGATATCTCGCGATCTGGACATGCTAGGGTCATAATATTTGGATGGAAGGTAGCTCTTGTCCTCGGGAAGAAGTCACGTGAGTTTGGTCCCCCTAGCGGCTTGTTCTGGAACTGCAGGGTGGTTTCTTTGAAAATCTTCGAGAGAGGATAACTGAACAACCGTTTGATGGATCATCATGATTTTTTGGTATGTAGGTAGCTTAAGTGATGCTTGACATAATCAAAATATAATTATGCAAATCAGGGTCTAATTTGCATAATTAATGAGGAAATTCTATAAATCAGCTGTATTTCATATTAGGGCTATAAAACTCTATAGACATATGTTAGTGAGAACGACAAGATCATTGGCAGATATCGATTATGTAAAGGAAGACCTAATTTGCATAATAAATGGCAAATTGGTACAATTTTATGGTGGTAACTGCTGGGAATTTAATACTTGCCATAATTGGAAGTTCAGTGAAGGTGAACATCACTAAACATAATTTATTTCAATCAGGACCTCATTTGCATAATTTATGAGGAAACGCTAGAATAGCCTTATTTCTTAAGATAACCCTGTCATTTGGTGGAGAGTATGATCAATTGATACAATATATGCAAATGGCCTCATATAATTTGAATATATGCGGTGAAAATGTAAGCCAATTA